AACCTCGATTTTTCCCCCAATTTTTGAGGTTTTCTGAATGGGCATGTTCGAAAAATTATAAAGGGGTCGAAATTCTCCGATTCGCGAAAAAAATCAAATTTTCTGGGCTTCTCTACTTTCATTGAGAATAAACTTTTATGATTATTGGAAGTTATTTTTTTCATTTAAAGTCGGCAGAAAATTGATTTTTTTGAAGCTGATAAGGCTTTTTGAGGCCGAAATAAGCATATCTTGAGGTTTTTGAAGGTTATAAATAACAGATTTTATTGTCATTCTTTTTTTACCTGCGAAATTACAAAGTTTCAATCTTGATTTTTTTCTGATTATTATGATTTTTTTCTATAGATATATTGATGGTGGATTTACCTTCAAACTTTTAAGAACACTTTTTTTGAAATATGAAAGCCAAAAAAAAAAGTTTTCTTCAATATTCAAAAAAGTCTCTAGATAACGTTTAATTAAGGAGCGCTTTATAAATTTTTTCTTCAATTTCACGATTTGTTAATTAACTCTGAATATTTTTGTAAAAGTAATTTATTCCTTGTCGGATTACCTTGAGATCAAAAAGTTTTTCGATCTCATATGATTCACACGACCTCCAAAGAAGAAAAAAGCATAAATTGGAAGTGTTCGCTTAATTTTGGGGTGCCGAAAACGTTAAGAAACACGTCTAATTATAGCAAGTTTCTTCCTTTTTTTTTTGGTGAGAAAGTTTTCCTTTCTTTCTAACTATTCGCTTTTATTCGAAGCTATGGTTAGGTTTTATAATTTTCATTTAGAAGATTTTCTCGAAATTTTGAGAGATTTGAGCCAAGATTTCTCTTAACAGACTCAAAAAACGGTCAAACAGATTTGACCTCTTGATTTTCCCCCGCAGAAAAGTTGCGGAGAGAAGATATTTTTAGCCAACTTTTTGCGTGTTCTCTCTTCTTAAGAAGATCTCCAAGTGGATACTTTTGAACTATTTCTAAGTTTGTGAACGTTTGTTTCTTGGTTACATACCCCTTGAGCAAGAACGTCTATCTTTTTTTTTCAGAATTTTTTTAGATGGGCTGAAACGTATCTTCTCTCAGTTTACAAGAAGACTTTGAAAAAAATTCTTTTCTTATTTTTGTTGGACTTCTCTCCTGAATTATTTTTTTCGATAGAATTTTTAAAATTTGTCCGACTCTTTAGTTCTTTAAAACCTCTGAGAACGGCCCTAAATTACGTGTTGGTCGTCAGTTGGGAACTGTGGCGGTCCTCCTCCTCCTCCCAATATTTCTTCGAACAAAGAGCCATCGACACGTGTGTTGATGTCGCCAGACGGCCTCCTCACTTTTCCTTCCTTTTTCCTTCATTTCCATCCCCCCCCCTTCTACCGCGTTCAGCAGATCCTTCTGAGATTATAAAACACTGAACTGCGATAATTGGCGCCGCGGCCGCCGAAGGGCGAAATGTCAAGGTTGGACACCTTGGTGCCAAGCAAAAACTCAAGTGTTCCTCGTCGTCAATGGCTTTTCTTCGTTTTTCTCAATTATTGATTCTTGTGACTTGGATTTTCCGACATTTATGTTGATAAAAGAGCTAAAAAGCTAAAAAAAAAATATACACGTTTTTTTTTGCCAATCCTGTGCGTCCAACCTAGAAACACCTTCCACGATTTTCGCCTCACTAGTGAGTCGAATTGTAATTTCGCAAAATTTTGATTTGCACTGAAGGGCTTTTTTTCTCAAAGGAACTTTTTAAAAATGGTAGAAACTTTTGAACTGCGAAATTCTCAAAACTTTGAGTTTCAGCATATTGACAGAAATGTATATTTGTACTACTTTTGTCGGTCAAAAAAAAAGAAAAAAGAAATGGACAGATTTTAAGAACTTTTCAAAAAAGTTCGCCAGAAAAGAATGAAAAAAAAGAACTCATAGTTTTGCCTTTTTAGTGATGTGCGCTCTACGGCTAAGCATTCGAAATTACTTTCCCGACCTCGGACATTGGTAACGCGAAACGGACGTTTCTGGGCTTTACTAGTGACTACTATAGTAGCGTCAGCACTCTCTTAAGTGATCCCTAGGATCGCCCAGAAACGTCCTTTTCGCGTTACCAATGTCCGCGACTGCTTTAGTCTGAAATAGAAAAAAAAATGGCCGTCGGATATGTGAAAAAAGCATAAGAAAAATGTTTGGGCATCTCAAAAGTCTATCAAAACGTTTAGGAAGAGCGAACGCCGTCGCGACTTTCGCAAAAAAGTTTCTTTTCTATGTTTTTTGGCCGTTGGCTACTTTTTGTCCGTCTCGTCTTACGCTGACCTTTGCATCTGTCCCTCCAAAAGTCTCCATTTCCTGCCCATTCCCCGGTTATCTGTCACAAAGTTCTCTCTCTTTAACACCTCTTTCCGATCGTCTATTTGTAGGTTCTTCTTCTTCTTCTTCTCTTTTTTTCTATTCGGAGAAAAATCTGGAAGTTTCACGGTTCGGTGGAGATTGTTAGTGATAAGGTTGATTCTACTGGTTCGGTTCTTTCCTTTTGCCAAGGCTCATCTTTTTTTAGAACTTTTTTCTTCTAATTCAGTTTCAATCATTTTAATTTTTTTCAAGGGTCAATTTTGAATTGAAAAATTTTCTTCGACTTTTGGATCATTTTAATAAAAAATAATAGAGAGAAAATGGGTTTTTCGAAAAAGTTTCCAGGAAAAAGGCATCCATTGAAAAATAAGACTTTTTTTGCTTTTTGTTGAAAATTTTGCCCTTGGATTTCCCGTCATTCTAGAAAATGTAGTGAAACTAGAACTATTAAAAAAAATGAAATATTTTTTCACTATTAATTTTCTTTTTTTCTCGCAATCTTATCATTGTTTTTTTGGCCCATGAAATCCGTCAGAAAAAAATGCCTATAGAGCCGTTTTTTTGTCATTTTTTTATAGCAATCTCTAATGATTTTCTTAAGGGAATATTTTTTGAAAGAAGTGCAAGGGTTTTTCACGAAATTTTTTTCTTTTTGAAATCAGGTCTTTCCATGGAAATGTTGTAATGAGAGCATAGAAAAAAAGTGTAAAAACCGTGACGTGAATACATTGTATTGATTTTGCCGCGTAAATCGACAATGAGACTAAAATTTGGCGCCAAAAGATAATTTATTTTTTGTTTTTTTCGTTTCGAATTTTTGAGTTGAATAATGTTCTTTTGATTGTTTGTATCGCTTTGAATAGCTTCTCAATTTTTTTAAAATCAATAAATCGTGACGTAAATAGATTCTCATCGATTTTCCCGTGTAAATCTGATCTCAAAAACCAAAAAATAACGTTTTTTTTTTAAGATTTCCGTTGTACGAATTTTCGAGTTGGAGAATTTTTTTTTGAAAACAGTTTTTTAATTCTTTCTTTTCAAAATTCTATGAAGAATGTAATGGGTAGAATTTGAAAGAAGTGCTATATTTTTTCCCCCCTTTTTTCAACGAAATGGTGGAATAACTAATCAATATTTTTTTGATTTTTCAATCTGTTAACAAGTTTTTGAGAATTTTATTTTTTTTACATGCATTTTAAAGTACAGTGATCATGAATTTACCGAGTTTATTGATTACCAAAGGAGAAAACTTTTTTCTCTTGTTAGTAGGAAAAATGAAACAGAAAAAAGGCTTTCTTATCGGGAAAATGTCACAAATTCATTGTAAAGTTGAAGCTTTCATGCATTTTATGTTCCTCTTTTCTGAGCCAAGGACTCTTGTGCGTTTTTTTTTCCAGTTTCTTTTTTGAATCTTGTTTTTGGCTACTTGAAAAAAGCTCTTCCTTCCAGGAATTTTTTTTCAAATTTTTTTGACGAGTAAAGCTTTTTGAAAAATTTAAGCCTTTGGAAGTTGTTCTTGAAGGGTGTTTCTATTGCGAAATAGAAAACTAAAATGAAATCAGCTCCGCCCAGAAACCTTTTATCTGTAATGGAGGAGCTGGATACATTTCATTCTTTTCTTTTATTGCAATTGTGTGCGGTTGCTCCCTCTGTGGAGCTCGCCTTTTTATTTCCGTTTTATTTCGTTTTTTCTTCTATATGTATATAGTTGGTTTAATTACCCAAGTTTGAGGTGATAAATATTGCTCTCTACGTTTTCTGTCGTTTCTCGTGAAAGAAAGAAGAAGGACGGAGAGTGCAGTACAAAGGGGTTCACTTTTTGAAAAAAGCTTTCTTTGGAAAGAAAATTTTGAGTATACTGGGAAAAACTCAAGAACCACTTAAGAGGTCCCTAGTCCCTTGAGGATTATTTGGAGAGGACATTGAAGTGGTCACTAAGAAATTTTGCGTCTCAGTGGTCACTATAGTAGTCCTCTGTGAGCCATTAACTCGGCTACTAAAAGGGCCACTAAATCGTCAAAACCCTAAAGTGGCCACTAAAAATTTCACCAATAAGTTTTTTTTTTCATTTTTCGTTGGTTTTTGATCAAGTTTGCGCTCTGTTAAGTTGGAAAATATCTTTCTGTTTTTTTTTTTTTGGGGCCTGAAAAGTTATCCATTCTCACAGCTGTTAATATATTACTACAACCTGAGCTTTGATCTTTTTTTTCAACAAAAGATTGGAAATTATTTTTTTCAATAAATAAGCTTGAAGCTAATTTTTGCATATCGATTTTATTAAAGTCAATTAATTGTTCATGCTTATACGTGTCAAAAAGTACGTTCATTTGAATAATCTCTTCAATATTTTCGGAAATGGTCCTTTTTTTAAATTTTCTTTTTCTCCTTGCTTCCTTAAAACTCTCTGGAAACTTCACCGATTCCGATTTTCCTCTCAATTTGATCCGAAAAGTCGAATTTGTGTGGCCTTTCTCCCTAATGGATCGACAGTCTGAAACGAGGACATTCGGCCCTCCGAAACCTCCAACCAAAGAAGAAAAAAAAAGAACCGTTTTCATTTTTCGGCTCTCTAATCCATTTGCGCAACGTTGTCCGCGAATACAAAACGAAAAGAGGAAGAATGGAGTTTTCAGAATCGGGCGAGACGGGTCGAATTGTAGGGACAAAGAGCCGGGATCGATGCAAAACGGGGGATGGCTCCGCGCCTCGAGAAGTGAACATCATCTGCCCACCGTCGATCTTCAGGTTTGTTTTGAAAAATTCCGTATTTGGGAACGCCGAAGTGGTCCCTATAGGACTCAGGGGAGGTAACAGCCCTATTAGGGACAAAGAAGGGCTCCCTTGGAGGTTGAAATTTAGATGGTTTATAGAGGAGTTCAGGGTTTGTAAGAAGTACAAAACCTGGATTTTCAGGTTTTTTATGAACAAAATTCCAAAAACCTACTTGGGAAAGCAAAAGTGATCCCTATAGGGATCAGGGGAGAAAACAGCCCCTATTAGGGACAAAAAATGGCTCCCTTTAAGGGTAATATTTATGTGGTCTTTAAAGGGGTTCAGAGTTTGTAAGAGGTACAAAACCACCTGTTTTAACTAATGAAAAAAATAGGTCGATCTTCAGGCTTGTTTGAAAAAATTCCGTGAACCTTCTTTAGAAATCCGAAGTGGTCCCTAGAGGACTCAGGGGAGAAAACAGCCCCTAATAGGGACAAATAATGAAAAAAATAGGTCGATCTTCAGGTTCGTTTGAAAAATTTCCGTATTTGGAAACGCCGAAGTGGTCCCCATAGGGCTAAAAGGAGAAAACAGCCCCTACAGAGGACAAGATAGTGTTCCCTTGAGGAAAAAAAAAAATTTAAAAGACCCTATAGGGGCCACTTGTGCTTCAAGGGGATAGGCTCTAAACCTCTGTAGTAAGCGCTACAGGGAGAATGGTATCAAATCAAATCAAAATTTTCTATTTCTCACACACAATTACTAAATTTCACGAAATAGATGTAGGGAGAATGTGGGAACATATGTGTCGGAACTTGTGGTGATGGAGGGAAGAGGACCCGCGGTCGTGTTAACCCCCCACTTGAGTAAATTAGAATAACATTAAAGTTATTCTTTTAAATGTCGATTATGTATAAAAGTGAAATAAGCACCGGCTTTTTATTTTTGGAAGAAAACCAAACTGAATTTCGATCCGTAGAGTATCATAGGTTCTTCTTACAGAACGCAAGAATCAGCTCGCTCCTGGAGGAGATGCGCCCCAAGAAGCTGGACGACGTGCTGCGGGTCAACGTGGAGGACTCGACTCTGAGATGTCCGCCGGCGCCGCCGAAGTACGACGACCTCTACAACGACGTCTCCTCCTCCAACGTCAACTTGGCCCGGAGAGCTCCACCCGATTATAGGTGTGCAAAAGATTTTGAAAAGTAATGGTACTCCAAAATGACCAGTATTCTACCTTTTTTTTAGTCAAATATTTTAACTTAAAAAACGAAGAATGAGCGGAAACCATACGAGGAAAAGTACATTATCCAATTAGCCTAGGATTCGAAATTCAGAAAAAAAAAAAACGTATGAGAATAATTTTCACCTTACCAACTTTAGAATTTCCAGTTTTTCGAGAACGAGGGCTCTAATCCTAATATTATAACCAATTCTAACTAGTTTTGATAGCTTATTTTGAAGTTTTTCGGAAGTTAGGAAGATTGTGATTCGAAAAACTTTAAACTCAGAGCTTTAATTGAACATATTCACATCATTCAAATATTTCTTGATTTTCTCATTTTTCACTGTTTTTCTTTCCTGAACAACTGCACCTTGAACCGTTCTGAGCACCTCATTTATCTTCCACGAATGTTCTCGGGAGATTTGATCGTTAACAACTGTTCTGTATGCTTTTCCCCATGTTAACTAGATGTTTCTTTTTGTCGAGGAAACCTGGAAGAGATATTTTTCCTGTTGATCGGGGTTTCAGGAAACCTTTAAGAGGTTTTAAACTTGAGTAAAAAATAGTTTTACGGATCGATACGATTTTTTTTCCACGATTTAAAAATTCTGATTTTAAATTTGCCAGAATCTTGCTTGAACAAAAAAAAAAATAAAGAACTCTCAAAAGGTAATATTTTGTATGAGATCATTTTAAGGACCTCACAGCCTTTTTAAAGTTTAAAAACATATTATTGAGTAAAATATTTTTGACTTAAATTTTCGTTCTTCATCAAATAAGCTGTTCTAGCCAACTGTCGAGCCTGCGACCGTCGGTTTCAACTTGGATAGTCACTTCCAGCGACCCCCGGCCTCAACAACCGTCGTGGGCGCGTTATCCGAAGCCGTTGGCCGTCGGAGACTCGGTTCGACCTCACTTACAGTTCATTTTAGCCGACTTAGGGGTATATTTTCAAGGTTGACGCTTTCAGAAAGTATTCTTAACTGAATCATGGAATAATTGAGGAGTTTTTCGTCGGTTCGCCGAACTGTCGTTGATCAACAACGGCGCCTGGATCATCACGTCATTTTTGTGAAAGTTGGAGACAATCTCTGAGTATCTAGACGATCAGCTGCTTCTTCATATATTCTTACAATCAACTCCTTTTTTGTAGTAGTTGTAATCGACTAGGCGGTCAACAAGGACGGTAAAAAACGCCTGTGGCGAACTAGAAGTCTAAAAATGTAGTTGATCAAGTTGAATGCATGGTCTTACGGTCCTTCGCCTTGTTCTTCCAAGTTCATCCAGTTGTTTGGAGAGGACACTAAAGTAGTCACTAAACCCACCTCTATAGTGGCCCCTATAAAGGTTCTCGATTTAATGTCCACTTCAGTAGTTTTCATCAAGTATTCCTTCCAGTAACTTTGATAATTGTAAAACAAACAGATTGACCAGTTATGTTGATCCATTGACCCTTAAAGTGGCCACTAAAACGTTTAGTGGGCCAGTAGTAGCACTTAGACTTCTATAGTGGCAACTAATTTTTAACCCCTTAAGTGGGCTCTAATTTTACTACTATAGTGACCACTGAAGTTTTTCCCAGCATTTTTCATGATCAGTTGAAAGAATGATGTCAAAAAATGTCTTTTTCCGCCAAATCCGCGTCGCCTACGCCACAAGTAGCTCTTATCACTCGGTCCATTATATCGCCTTTCAAGTCGAAAAAAAAATCAAACATACTCATTTTTCTCACTTGCAGAGAGGTCCCTTATCACCTGCCGGTTATTTCCGCGAGCTGGAACTGAAAAATCTGTCGCTAAGCAACAGACGGTCTGAAAATAAGGTCTGTTGGCTGGAAAAATGTTTCGAGCCTCAACTTTTCTGCAGAACAATGAGGAGCCGCCGCCGATGTCGCCGCGCGTTTTCTCGGCCGGAATGTCCCGAAACACGCCCCGGCAGGCCAGCTTCATTGCCGCCATCGCCCGGCATCCGCTCAGGGAAAGTTCGTTATTAGGTTTTTGTGTTACTAGCAAGGAAAGTTTTTTTGGGAACGAATTTTTGATTAATCTTGGCTGGGGTGTCTTAGGATCTGATCTCAGAAAACTTTTTTTAATTGATTTTTTTGAACTTCAAAATCTATAATTTTTTTAATGATTTGTGCGGTTTGCGGTTTTTAAAAGGTCATAGTTTGAGGGAAATTTGAGCCAAAAGCTCAAAAAAGGGTTTTTTCAAGATCATAGTTTGAGGGAAATTTGAGCCAAAAGCTCAAAAAAGGGTTTTTTCAAGATCATCAGAAAATTCACCTTTATTATTTTAAAGTTTTCAACAGCTTTTGAAAAATAACTTTAAAATGGTGAACAAGAAATTTGGTATTATGAAATAGAAGCCCTAACTTATCAACATTGTCTTTTAATCATGAATCAACCACTTATTTTTTAAAGGATGATTCATAACGGAGAGCTTATCGAGAAAAAAAAAGTTCGGAGAGTTCCCAAGCAATATGAAAAAATCGGAAAAGTCGGTGTTCAAAAATTCGTTGATTTTTATTTCATACTACCTGAAATTTATTTGTGAGAAAAGCTAAAATATTATCAATTTTCTATTCGATTATTCAACCGTTTGAATCAATGAATTTTCAGCCATCAGTTATTTTTTTGCGGGTCTTTTGAAAACGTGACAAGAGTTATTTTTCAAATTTTCATCTCTATCTTCAAAATAATCTGAAGAACATATGTCGCGTCATTATCAATAAAATTTGAACGCATTTTCTATGAAAAACAAGAAAAAAATATCCAAAGTTAAGTTTCATAGTTTTAATAACTGCAAAACAAAATTCATTTCGAAAAATTTCAATGTGAAAAAAAATGTAGTTTCAGTCTTCAACTAGTGAAAAATGTCATCCTTTAAAAATCTCTATGTCGCCTAATCACGGCTGGCTTGAGCCAACGAAAAAATGAGTCCTGGCACGATAAGAAAAGAGATAGAGCGAAAAGAGGAGAGCGCAGAAAGGCCACGCCCCTTTGCGCCCCAAGCTGGGCGTGAATCAGCTATAATATTCATTTTGAACATTTGAAAATTCAAAACCATTGCCAAAATTTTCAAAAATAGTTTTTCCATGTGATTTTCTGCAGCCAGCCAATGGAACGGCGCCTATTCGCCGAGTTCCTCCGTGGAGCCGCCCGTCGACGCGGCGAACGTCGCGGGAGAACCGCGGGAGAACGTGGCTCCCAACGCAAATACGCCCGTCCGTCGACCGCGAAGCCCGACGCCCTATAAAAGGTGCCTTGAACAGGAATTTCATATTATTAGGCTTATTAAAGGCACATGGGTAGTAGAAATTGCCAAAAAATTGTATGCAACAAGCTTCATGTGAGAATTCTGAATATGTGAGTCCATCTTCGAAAGTTAGAGAGTACTGTTAGACAAGAGGGCCTAGAGAAAGAAACAGTTGCTCTCTTATTTTTGAACAATCTCTCAATTTCGAATAATCGAACCCTGACCCCACTCGAATTTCTGCTTGTAATTTCACAAAATTCCTATTTTTCAAGGAAAAAACTCTCGGTTTCAAACTTTTTGTACATATCCTCTCAAGGTAATGAAGCTTCTTGAACATTTAAATTATCTGAATAAATCAAAAAAAAATTTTCGAACAAAAATACCAGAGGGAGAAGTTTACGAAAAATGAGAAAAATTTGCCTTTTTGTTGGTTCTCCTTTGCCTCACACGTTTGTTTGTTTGTTGACTTTCGGATTGCCAAAAAATGACTTGGGCCTTTTTTTCCAGACGGAAACACCCGCCAAAGGAACGACTAGGCAAGGACGAAGAAGTTCTCCCGGCGCCACAGTTGAAGAACACTTTGCAGCGTCAGTTTCTTTCCAAATTCAACTTTTTTCAGAAGAGAAAACTGTCAAAAGGCTCAAAAAAATAGATGAGGAAGTATTTTGTGGTACATTTCCTCCTTGAATGCATTCAAAATGTGGAACTTTTTTGTAAAATGGTGTTTTTTTTAAATTCCTGTTTCAAGTTACTTTTAAGAAGCTCAAAAAGTGCAGAGAAGAGTGATTTTGTGTCGAGTGAGCGGTAACTTGAACACTTTAAATTTCCTAGAAACACCAGAGTGGTCCCGATAGAGCTAAAACTTAGGGGGTCCCTAAAGGGATATTCCAAAGGCACCTAAGATCGTCCCTTCAGGGACCATTCTGGCGTTCCTAAGTTTATGATGATTCTGAAAGTAAAAAAAAATTCGCGATATTTTTTCTTATCTTAAAATGAATCATATAATTGTTTTAAACATGGATTTTGATCAACAGGAAATTGCCCGATCCTTAAAATTTTATTTCCAAATCTTAATGAGATGACTAGATTTTTTGAAGCTTTCTTTGTAAAATGCCTTGAAAATAATTCTGCTCCGAAATTCTTAATAAGTCTAAAACTTAGAAAAATTTCTGATCCAAACTTTCATCATATTCAAAAAAAGGAAACGTACTGAAAAATTTATTTATATAAAAAATCGGTGTTTTTTTGTATAGTTTTTGAGCTCAAGTCCCCGTTTCAGTTGCAATTCATATTCTGATCTAATTTTTGTGTTGCTATTTGTTTTTTGTGGTGTCGTCTTACGCTTCTCCCTGTTTTTACAAAAAAGTTTTTTGAAGATTTTTCAAATTTTATCCAAATTAAACGCAATTCGGCTGAAGTTTTTTCGAGACGTTTGAACCTTTTTTGGCATTTTTTTTTGATTTATTTTTACATTAATTTTTTTGAATACTAATGGAAGGCACTTTTTGTTCGAAATCACTTGCTAGACTGTTCAAGAAGGCATAGACAGGTTATAAAAAAAGTCTCGTTAAGAAAAGTTCTTTTAACGCTTCTGCGTTTTGGAGAAATTTGGTAAAAAAAGTTCTCTGCTGTAAAAGTTGAAGGGCTTCCTAAAATTGAATTGATTTTCTACAAATATCATCCGAAAAATTGATTGAAAAGAAAAAAAGTTGGATGGAAAATGTGGTTCTCCATAAACTTATCCTCCAGCAACTTTTTACTTTGGGATTCTTCTTTTATCCGCCTCCGTTGTTCCATTTTTCCCTCCCCCGCACACATATATTTTTCAATTTGATCTGCAAAATTTGGGATTTCATCCTGCTGCATTCGGATATTATTGGATTCATTCTTGGGCTTTTTATGAAGCTTTTTGGTTTTTTTCATATTGAAAAATTTTTCGGGTTTTTTTCTCTTTGAATAGTCTTTTTTTATGAAGCTAGTTTGGATCTGAGAGTAGAGAAGCCGGGATAATTTAAGAAGAAAAATAAAGGATTTTTTTCTAATCGAATTGTCTTTTTTTCCTTGTGATCTTCATCAAACAGTCGGAAACCGCTACAGAAATTCTAGAAAAAAAGATAGAACTGAGAAAAAAAAATTTTTTTAAGAACGGTTTTCATTTACATTCAGTAGATGTTGAAAAAGGGTTTCCAAGTTTTTCTCATTTTTTTTTTTTTTTCTGACTTTCATAGAAGCTTTTTTTCTCACTTTTTTTACCAGGGAATGATATCGGGTCGCAATGGGACTTCTGAGTTTTTTTTTTTTTTATAGAACTTCTCTAGGAAAAAAATAATTGTTTTTTTGTCAACAGACACTCACCAAAAATGAGCTTAATCAAAACCACTGAAATTTTCTTTGAGGTTTAATTTTGAGGTGGCATAACTTTTTTCACAGACCTCCATGGTTATTTTTGAGAACATATTTGCAATCAGCGTAAAAAACTACATTTAATAAACTTGTTCTGATTCAGAAGAACCGAAAATAGATATTTCCCTGGTTAGCTTTGATACATCTTTGAAAAAGCTTGGACCAGTTTTTTGTCCTAAAAGTTGTAACGAACCCATATTCATCATAAAAGACCAAAAAAGCCGATCGAACGAATCGAATCCAATAACCTCCGCACTTTCTTTTGTCTCCTGTGATGAAAGTACAGGCCGTGTGATTGTTGTAGAAAAGGCGGTCTTTTTCTTCCTTCTCCTCCCATTTTGGCATCGATATGAATGGCAGGTCGTCAAGACTAATTCGCCTCGTTTGAGGGCAAAACCTGAGGAAAAAGAAGGTGAATGGGCTTCGGATTCTCGAATGGTGGTGGTTGTGGAAAATTGGCCGGCTTTTCTCGCCCGATTTCGGGTCGACCTCCTCTTCCGCCGACTTTTATTTATTGTTTTGTCCCTCCGAGTCTCGACCGACGTCTTTTGTATACATGTATTTCTCTGGATCTGCCGGCCTTGCACTGAGTTTCTTGCCAATTTCACAAGATCTTTCTTTTTATGAATTTTTAAGTTTTTCACGACGGAACCGTTTTGGGAAGTCTATATTTAGTTAGTTTTCATAAGAAAAAAAAAATTGAATTTTGAAAAAAAAAAGAATTAACGAAAAAATGGCGTTTTTGTCCATGGAGCAAAACCTTATTTTTTTTTCCCTCCCTCACATGTCTGTACCAGTTTAGGAGTTTCAGAAAAAAAACATTTTTTTGGATTATTTCTTGAAGATTCAGAAAAAGGATTCTGTTTATTAATGATTCGGTTGATAATACTGTTTTTGCTGCGTTTCATTGAATTTCGGCAGGAATCAATTTTTTTGGGCCAGCATCTTCGATTCAAGAAGATTTGGACTTCTGCTCATTTTATTTTTCCAAGCGAGGCTTTTGGCAATTTTTTTCCATTAATTTTTTTCATTCAATTCAACATGAGTTTACCGTTTTGAAAAGCCTTTAAAAGAAGATTTCACTACCGGTTGAACGATTTTGTAGTATTTCACGGGGCTCTGTTTTTGAAATTTTGCGTTGATTTAATAACGTGTCGGTGTTCTGGAAGACATCTTGTGATTTTAAGCGATTTTTTAAATTTCTTTATAAACTTGGTTTTTTTGAAGCATTGGCCACGTTTCAGTAGCCCGAAAAAAGTGCGTTATGATAATTTTGATAGCTTTAATTTGATGTCGGCTTGGAAGGATCATTTCAGTTACTCATGATCTCTATATAGCATCAAGGAGATCGCACGAAATTCGAAAAAGTTTCCTCATTCAACTCAAAAAATGAAAAGATTTCTTCGATCCTCGCCGAGAAGGTGTTAGTTTTCAGCGGAAACTTGCTAATTAGATGGTTCCAGCCCAAGGTTACCGACATTGTTGGATTGGTTGGGGACGACGAATGGCCTTTTTCAAGAGTTTTTCGAATCGATCATCAGTTTTCACCGCATTTTTCAATTTACAGTCCATCTTGATTGAAAAATATCCTATCTTTCAATTTTTGGATGGAGCATGAGTTCTAACTTATAAGAGAGGTCATCAATTTTTTTTTAATGTTTTGAAGATGATTGTGAGCTTATTTCCGTGGTAAGCCTGAACTTAAAAAAAAAATTTCTTGCCTTGTTGAACTGTTAGGGATCTTAATTCAGGCCTTGAACTTTTTTTAAATCGTAGCTTTGAAAAAAATATATTTTTGAGCAGGTAGACTGGTAAGAATTTTTATTTCAGAGCTTCAGAACGTTTAAAGAGAGTTCCAAACTTCACACAAAAAAATTTTCGAGTTTGTAAGAATACAAGTAGCCCCCCTAAATCATGTTTTTGTAACTGAATTAAAAAAATATAGCTTCAAAAATAATTTTTTTCGCGCAGTTGAGCTGTTAGTGACCTTTATCTTTAGAGATTTTTAAGAAATTCTCAAATTTCCCACGAAAATATTCGACTTTGTCAGATTTCAACTGGGTTGAAATTGACTTTAAAAAATCGTAGCTCCGATAAAAACTCGCAGATAGATTTTCTCAGAACCTTAATTTAGACCTTTCAAAATTCTGAAAATAATTTCAATCCTCACACAAAAACAACCACCCCTGTCTGAGTTCAAATAGCCTGACCCAAGAAAAAGAAAACCAGAAAGTGTAATTTTAGAAAATTGTCTCCTTTTTTTGCCGAATTCTTTCACCTTGAATGGCAATTTCCGGTCCGAGCAGTGATGTTTTCACTCGGAATCGGAAAAAGTAAGCGGTTTAAAGGGTACTTGGAGAGTCGTTTCAGCCGTTCTCCGCCACTTGTACCATTTCAATTCCATCTCCATAGATTTCCATCTTTTTTTTTCTCGCAAAGATGTTCGAACTGTTCCCGTTTTTTTTTCCCTCTCTCTGCCTATTGGAAATCATTCGCCGCCCGTTTTACGACAGTTTTTGGTCGTTTTCCAACCTCTTCAACTCGTTTTTCTTGTTGTGTGTAACCGTATGTCGATGTCGCACTGCTGCTGCATCGAGTTTCACGGTCGTCGCTCACTTTTTGGTTCGTTTTTAATTTTGGTACTGAATTTTCAAGCTTTCTGTGAGCTTTCGTCATGTTCTGATCAAATTTTAAGCTAGAATCTTCTTCGAATAGAAAAAAATTAGCATTTTTTCGAAAATTGGAAAAAAATATGACCGTACCCTGCGGACTTTTGTATCTCGGCTCTATTAATAGCCATAGTCAAATTATCTATGTAATTTTATCCGTCATATTAGTAGATTAACAACCGACTAGATGTTCTGATGTTGTGAAGCTCCTCCGACTCTAGATTCTGGTCGTAATTCATAAGTTGAATATAAATCGAGTTGATCGATTTATTTCGCTCCAAGTGATCTTTTGAGTGACAGTTTTCAGAGAAGTTGAAATAGAACCTGATAGTTTATTAGTTCGTTTTCAGCTTATTTCAAAAAAAAATTCAAGTAAAATCGGAGAAAAAAGACGGTTTAATCATATCTTCAGACGATTTATTTCAGTCCCCCCCTCTCTCAGATCTTTGATTTTTGGATTTTTTTCAAAACTTTTTTTGTAGTTCAGTCGGCCATCAAAAAGAAAAATTTTTCAAAAAGAAATGTTAGAAGTGAGATATTTGAGTAATTGGTTTTCTTCGGAAGATTCATTTTAGCTGCCCCCCTAAAGTCAATGATTTTGGATTTTTCAAAACCTTTATAGTTCAGTCGAACGTCAAAAGAAATGTTAGAAGTCAGAAGAAAAAGATCCGTCTGAAGCAATCTGAATACTTGGCTTTCTTCAGACGATTCATTTGGCCGATCAAAAAATTTAGATTTTTCGAAATCTTTCATAGTTTCAGTCGATCCTTTTAAAAACAATTTCAAAACAACGTTAGAAGACAGAAGAAAAAAGACATGTTGAAATGACCTGAAATCAGTCAACCCCATCTATCTGGTCTCCACGTCTCCTTCGTGAGACGACTCACCGGGCCGATTTTTCTCGCGGATAAAAATTCGCGCTGTTTCCAATCCAAACAACAAATAAGAAACGTGCAAAAGCCGGCCATTTGCACCGGCCGATTGACCACGGTCCATTGCATTTCTCTCCACTTTATTATTCATTTCTTTTCTTTTCTTTTTTTTCTTCTTTTCACACGTTTTTCCCTCCATTTGGGATTCCCTTCCTGCCCTTTGAAAGTGTATCGAATTTCAAGCCCATTTGCACACTTTTGTTCGCGTTTTGTTGAAATATTCATTGGTTTCCTTTTGTTGCCGTTTGGAAGGTGTTTAGTCACTTCTGCATAGTTTTAATATGTCTAGTGCAAGAATTTTGTTACGAAAAAGAGCAAAAAACTTAAAAATTATTATTTTATCGGATTTTTTATTAGTAAGTTTGAACAGAAAAACTGAAAATCAGAAGCAAAAAAGGTTCCCACTAAAATTAATTTAGATACTTTTTTGTCACTTAGGATCGCCAGTTTTGTCCCTATAGGAGACAAAAAGATGATCACTTTAGGGCTAAAGTTTAAGTGGTCCCTATAGGGATTTACGGTCTGACCACTAAGTCCTGAACTTTACGTAGTCCCTTTAAGGGTATTTTATTTTTTTTTTTGATAACTGTTCCTTCTTTTCATAGAGTTCATACCAATAAACGACTAGCAGGCTCCCCTATAGGGACCACTTTTGCAAGCTTTAGTGCTTGTTATTGATGTTTATAGTGATCGCTAGAGGGGAACCTTCAAGGGCCCCTAAGTTTTTCCCTACAGGGGCCTCTCTGGCGTTCCCAAGCAACAATAAAACCAAAAAACGATTACAAAAAAGAGAGAAGAAAAATCTTTTGTACCATTTCGGGCTTTGTTTTCTATCTCCTTGTTTTTCCTCTTAAAAATCCATTAAACCTCAAGATTTGACTTTTCCTGCGATTTTTGGAACTTCTTTTTCCAGACTTTCATCTTAATCGGTGGTAATTAGTGTGAACGTGACTCATTGCCAGAAATGAAAAATCCAGACTTTTCTTTTTTTTAATTTTTTTTTTCTGGCTTTTTTTCGATTAGAGTAGTTTGATTCAGATTACATTAAAGACTTGAAAAAATCCTTCGAGAAAGAAAAAGTATAATAAAAAAGTGCACGGCCCCCCAGACACCCCGGGGACACCGGAAACAGCCAATTTCCGTTGACTTTCTTCCAGTTTCGCCCTTTTTTTCCTATTTTACTCGACTTTCCTCTTTTCAAGTTATTGAAGGCCTTTTAAATTCTAATCTAATTTGATAGGAATTCTTATTTTTAGTAGAGCCTTTCTCGGAATAACTTTTTTGAGTTTTTCCTTTTTTTTCATTTAATGACGCTTATACTAACACCCTCTCTCCGAAATTTATAGCTCCCACATTTTTTAACGAAACATTATGTAAGAAAAGAGATCCTTACCCATTCTACAGTAACCCGAAAGGTCAGTTAGATCTTAAAACAGGTTAAATTTAAACGGAACCCAGAAGTTTCCGCATAAATTCTGAAGTAGTCGGAAAAAACTTTCCCAATTTTTCAACTCCAAATTTAGGGTTAGCCTGAATCATTAACCAAGCTAAACTTTCTTGAAATTAATTTCCAAATTTGGAATTTCTCGGCACGTCACGGTCGCGTGGCGGTTGGAATCTATACTGTAACAAATTTTGAGGGACTAAAATGCTCCGAAGCCGTCGAGCCATTCCAATTGCGACCAAAAATAATTAATCAAAGTGAACTCGTTGCAGCTCACTCTGATTTGTGAATGAATTATTATTATTATTATTAAAATAACGCAGCTGATTTTTTCAAGACGAAAAATCATATAGGGAAGAGAATTTTTCTTATACTGAACCCTAAGTGCAAAGCCCCGCCCCTTTTTACGAAAGAAAATTTGCGTTTCTTTCGGTATTTTGAGTTTGCAATATCCAAGCAAACGCAAAACTCCACCATATGAGAAGAAAGTTGGTGGGCGTGTAGAGAAAACCTGCCTCTTACAGCTCATGTAATGCGTATCAACGGAGTGTCGTACGGAAAAAATGAAACGAAATTTTTGTACTGACTTTTTAATATGGTTTCAGCTCGTCGACACTTTTCTTTATCTGTATTCATAAAATTAGATTTGAACTTGTAAGCTAACTACTTTTACGCTTTAAAAAATCACGTCTATTTTTTTCTCGTAAAATCAAAAATAACGTTTTTGAATACTCGAAGCCCTATCAGTTCTGTCCTCAATCTTTACACACACAAAGTTTTTGTCAGACGCCGCGAGCACATGTGTTCGACTTCAAGGCTTTTTGTTTTTTGTTTTGACGCCCGTGTAATAATCACGGATGTGAATGGGGCCGTTCGCATTTGCGTCAATTGATTCAGGCTCTTTTCTTCTTTTCTTTATTTTTTTCGTTTGAAGTTGATCGTGAAAAAAAAAATCTCAAATATCAGACTGCGTAGTTTTTTTTTTAACTTTAGTGGCCACTTAAGAAGCTCCTCAAGGATTTCTTGGAGTGGGCACTAGTGGCCATTCGAACCTATAGAATTCACTATTTTTTGTCTTAGTGGCCACTGTAGTAGTCCTCCTTTTAGTGGCCACTAATTAGACTGCTACAGTGGTCACAAAAACTGCAAACCCCTAAAGTGGCCACCGAAACGCAGAATCCCTAAAGTGGCCACTGAAAACTTTCCTAGTTTCTCTAAATTCTCACATTCACGCTCTGTTTCCATCTTGCTTAAAAACAGAATCCGGAAACGATTTTCTAACAAGTTTTGGCCATTATAATCAAACTTTATACTCACGCGCCTTATATTCGTAACTAGAGAAAACATGTAGATTTATATTTTGAAGTTGGAACCAAATGAAAAATACAATTTTTCTTCAAATTATATCATTTTCCAACTCCAAAAGTAACTTTTTAGCTTGAAGCGAACCCAAAATTTCACTTCCCATTTGGTTCCTCGCACTTGATTTTGCAAGATCGTTTCGCAGTTTCAGAAATTTATTAAAAGTTCGATGAAAGGGCAACTTATTAATGTTCGTCTATTAGACAATGATTGTTTTCTAAGTGAAAATTTGAAAAATTTAGGGAATAGATTTTCATGAAATTTGCGGAGTTCATCGATCACTCGATCATGATCGCTCTCACAGGAATTTTAAACCACTTTAATTCCATTTTTCCTCCCACAAAAATGCGCCCTTTTCGAGACTATTTCTTTCAATTTATTCCTCTCCACTTCTAATTCGAAAAGAACACTTTGCGATATCATTTGACGCGTTCGGCGTCGATTCTTCACCCTTTTTTGTCTCTTTCCTACGATGGAATGATTAATTGAACCAAGAACTCTATTGGGTTCGACCGTTGGTGTGTTGGAAAGAACAATTGATTGCAAAAGACCAGTTTTTGATTGAGAAGAGAGACAAAAATGAGCTGCGGTATGTAGGTTGAGCGCCCGATTTGGTAGGCTTACGGTTTTTTTTTTCGGACTTGAAAAAAACTGTATTTTTTGAGACGGAGTTAAAGTTTATTTTGCATTGAAGAGCATGGAACTTCCAAGATAAGGCTTCATTTTTTATTCAGTTCAAGTTGAGAAAAGGGAAAGTAAGATAGGTTTTATATTTCACTAAAAGCTGGATTTTTTCAAGTTCATCGTGGTCTCGAAATCTTGAAAAAAAGCGACGAATTAATTTTCTATCAAGTCAATTTTGAAAATTAAAAAGATAAAAAGGTCTTAAAAAAATATAGAACTTTTTTTAATTCCTCTATTGGTACTCATCTTTGTTAAAAATAAGTTTTTCATTAATTATTTCAACGTGGAAATTTCTTCCCAGATGTTATACGCTTCTGTCTTTATAAATAAAACATATAAATTTATGTCATTCAATGTTTTGGGCATAATTCTTTCTTTTTTTGAAATTTTATTAAATCGGTCAAGTTTTTTTGACAACGATAAATCGAGGCACTATAGGATGCCTTTTTACATTGTTTTTTGATATTAGGAGTAAAAATTTTTGATTTTGTCGAGCTTCAATGAAACTTTGAAACTTTGAAACTTTATTCAGTCTTCAGAGAAGGTACTCTGCTGAATCATGGAATAATTGAAGAGTTGTTCGTCGGTTTGCGAAACTGTCGTTGATCAAACGTAGACGGCGCGTAGAGCATCTCGTCTTTCTTGTTATAGTAGTAGACGACTTTCGAGCGTTTCCGACGATCATTGCTTCTCCATGTAGGAACGGTACGGCGCCCAGCTTGTCCAGGGCTGACGGGCGTCGGATTAAATCTCAGACGAGAGCGGAAATTCAATGAACCTAAAGTTTAAAAAAGGATCGTGTTTCTTCTAGCTTTTTTTATTGAGCTTATATGGTTTTTTCAGACTTTTTTTTTCAAATTAGGGTCTATATTATCTTAATTGAACCGCAACGCAACCGCAACGCATTAAGCCATTCCACATGCGGTCAGAAAAAAAAAGTTAAAAGATGGCAAAAACATTTTTAGACAAAGATTTTAGACAAAGAGAGAAAAGTTCAACCGCAACTTTTAAAGCCATTCTTAATTGAACCGCAACGCGTTGAGCCATTCCTCACGCGGCCAAAAAAAATGAAAAGTCAAGACCGATCTCATTTTTAGACAATTTTTGAGGAAGTTGAGTACCTGTCAAGGTGAACCAAAGTACGAAAATCGAGTCCGACTCCCCCATCATTTTGATTTTCTGTCACATGAAAAGCAGTGGCAGTTGAAGTGTGTGTGTGTGTGTGGAAAAATTAGAAGAGAAGGTCTCTTTTCTTAGTTCCAAAAACTCTGTTTTTTTTTCTTCTCTTTCTTTCTTTTGCTGCATTGACGACGACGACGAGAAACTCGTCAGTTGTTCGGTGAAAATGTCCAAGCGCTATTTCTCTTCTTTTTGGCCCCCACGGGGTCGGCCGGCCTCCGTTTTGTCGCCAAGCCACGCTCCTCACAACACGGACCTGTCTGTCTATCCCATTTCCCCATCCGAGATCCGATTCATCAACATTTATTCCAATCATTTTTTGTGATTAGCTTGAAGTTTTAGCCGCGGCCGAGTTTTTTTTAGTTTTGAAAAGTTGTCAGAAACGTTTTCATGGCCTGAAACTTGTCCCACGAAAAAAATCTGGATGACTAATGTTTTTTTTTTTTGAAAATTAAGGTTGAAGTTTGAGCCGCGGCTGAGTTTTTTAAAGTTTTTTAAAGGTTATTAGGAGCCTCTTTCTGGTCTGAAACTTGTTCTATTAAAAAAATTTAGATACTACTGTTTTTTTTGTTTGAAAATTTAGGTTGAAGTTTGAGCCGCGGCTGATTTTTTTGAAGGTTATTAGGAACCTGTTTCTGGTCTGACACTTGTCCCATGATTAATATGCACGACTAATGTTTTTTTTATAAACGTTGTTTGAAATTTGAGCCGCGGCTGAGTTTTTTCTGAGTTTTTATTTTTATTTTTTGAAGGTTATTAGGAACCTTTTTCTGGTCTGACACTTGTCCCATGATAAATATGCACGACTAATGTTTTTTTTTTTATAAACGTAGGTTGAAGTTTGAGCCGCGGCTAGTTTCTTTTCTTGAGTTGTGGAAAGTTGTAAGCACCCTTTTTTTTACTCAAAAATGTCTCCGATTTCTTTTTTCTGGTATAAAAAGTCTTTTAAAGATTTGTTGAATTTTCTAGGGTCTAGGTGGAATTTTGAGCCGCGATTGAGGTTATTTTTTGAGTTCTTGAAAAGTTATGGGGATCATTTTTGTGGTGTGAAATTTGTCCCATTAAAATTTCGATATATCCTGTTTTTGATATTGTTTTTTTGTTGAAGATTGAGCCACGTTTTTTTAATTTTTTTAATTTTTAATTTTTTTATTTAGAAAAAAATTTTTTTCTGGTCTGTTTTGGGATATTGGAAAAACTGAGTTGTCGATTTTTTTAGATCGTCCCAGGTTTTTTTCCTCCAGATTCGTCCAATTTTTCAGTTTCAAAAAAACTTATTTAGTTTCATTCAAACTCAAACATCGTTCGGACCAAACAACAACCGTATTCTGAAAAAAATTAAAAGGCTCATCGAAATTTTTCGAAATCGACAACGATTCATAAGACGAAAACGTTGTCTTTAAGATACTTTTACAAAAATATTTCCATTTCTATTCGAAAGAGCTTCGAACTTTATGCCAAGCAAACGTTTTCTTTCCTTTTTTCTTCTCTGAAAAAGTTGACCCTCGTTTAGTCCAAGAGCGATTTGTTTCGACTAGTCAAGATTTATGTGCTTATTTTTTAGATCGTGAGCATCGGGCTGAGAGAAAATCGAGCCAAAGTTTTGTCTTGAATTTTCATTTTTCAAGCAATTTTAAGCTGAAAAAAGAGATTTATTCCTATTTTTGGCTCCATTTTTGAAAATAATGAGAAGTGTCAGGTTTCAAAGGGCTCTAGGTCCCCATAAGAAGGCTGAATTTAACTTTTTCTAAATTTAAAATCGATGAAATGATTTTTTCATTAACGCAGAAGTCAAGTTTTTGTCTTCTCGAAATGATTCAGCTGACTTTTTTTTTGGAGTTTTCGAGATTTTCGGTTCAATTTTAACTTTTTAAATCAGTTCAAGATTTTTTAGCTGTTTTTTTTAAACATTAAGCAATGCTGGGAGCATCTTTGGCGCATTTGGAATGACTGAACGCGTCGCGGTCGCGCTGCGGTTCTTTTTTAGCATTCCCTAGCTTTCCTTTCATTTCCCGATGATTTTTCGAACTTCCATCAAGCTTAAAGCTACTTTCATTTTACATATCGTTAACCGGGTTTTTCATTTCTCAAATCAATAAAAGAGCAATCTCAAATCTCGTGGGAGCAATTTTGTGTGCGCGTCAAGTGTTCTTCGCCCACTCGCACTATGTTTTTTTGTTCTTCTTCTTCTTCTCGTCGAGTCGGATTGTTCGGATTTCCCGGAAATGAGATTTTATAATGAGGGTTTTCCTCCTGTGAGGTTTTCCACTCGATTGACTGAACATTTGTCTCGTGATTCTGTAGGGGAAATTGGAAATGTTCGTGGGTTATACTCTTTTTTTTTGATTTTTTGAAGCTTTTAACTTCAAAGTTGTTGAAAAAGCTGGTTAGTGTTAATTGATAGATTATTTTTCCAGTGGACTTGAAGTTTTTGAGAAGTATACGCTTTAAATTTGCAAGAAAAAAACTTATCTAATGAATAAATTGAAATATTGATCAGACTAATTACTTCAGCTATAACAGGAAAGGTTTTTAAAAATTTATAATCGAACAAAAAAATTAACTTTTTTAACCCTCGAAATTTCAATCATATCTAATATTTCGAAAAAGAACAAAACGAGAAGAAATCGTAGATTTACCATTTTAAAATTGAAATCTTTAACTTCAGAATTTTTAACAGTTCGAAAAAAATTAAGAATTTTTCAATAATTTATTATAAATAAAAAAATTATAAAATCATCAGTTTCAATCTAGTTGTACCAAAGAGCGACCAAGTGAAGTGAAACTGAGTTTTGAAGTACCAATAGAGTTTTTGAAACAGGAAGTTGCGTTATTCTCAAATACTAAACGACTTCACCGTTTTAATGAAATTTCATCAAAGTACGTTCATCACATACTAATGATAGGTTCTCTTATTATATATTTGAAAAGAATTTTTCCCTTCGATGAAAATCCCCGGTCGCATTTGGAATGGTTAAACGCTTCGCGGTCGCATCGCATGAATGTTGGCCACTTTTCAATGTCGGTGCGCGCAAGTAGTTTCGAATCGGGCGCGTTTAGTACGCGGTTAGTCTTTCCAAATGTAACCAGTGTCTCAAAGCGAAGTTTGTATAACAAATGCAGATTAGAGAAAAAAAAATCGCCTTTTTTCTGTCTTTCCAGTTGGCTGACTGGAAATATTGAATATTCAATGTAAATCGGCTATTTCGCCACGCGAAAACAATCCCTTAAACCGGCTTTTTTATTTCTATTTTCTCTCTTTTTTGAGCCCTTGTACAGTTTTTTTTTAATACTTTCGAATATAATTTCTTTTTTTCAGAAGAGGAAGCCTACGAAGCGAAAAGTCAACTACTCGCCGGTGTTGCGTTATCGGAATGGTTCGTTTAAAAATTTATTATCATTTTTTTGAATTTTGAAAAACATGTACCCAAAATTGATAAGGTTCGAAAGTTCTCGAGAAAGGTGGCTCTCAAGTTTTGAGCAAAAATTAATAGGATTAAGCGATATTGCGGTTTCATGATTTTGGGGGGTATTATTAAGATTAAAAATCGTTCGTATGTGTTCTGATAAGCATTTTTGTCGCATTTTTCAATTTTTGACATTTTTTGATTGATAAATTTAACATTGTTGAAAGTCAAAAGACCTTTTTTTACTGTTAAGAACGAATTTTTGATTGCTTTCTCACACGAAAATTGATAGAAAAAAAAATTTTTTCTCTGGACTTTTCACTTCTTATGTTTTTGATCTTGAAGTGAACATACTTTCCTGTTTCTAATATAAATTTTTTTAGAGAAAAAAAGATCAATAATTTGTCATTTTGTTTTTGTTGAAAACGGAAAAAAATCACCAGTTTTTGAAAGATTTATAATCTTTTTCAAGATGAAGAGATGAATTTCCTGAAGTGTCTCGTTTTTTTATTTTTCCCAGGAGAAATCATATTTTTTTCTGAAGAAAACTTTGTTTTGAATGGATTTTGCTTTTCAGAAATGGCTAGACCACAAATTTATTCCATTTTCTAACGTGGGTGGGCTCGCAAATGAAGTTACTTGTGTTCCATTCTTCATGAATATTCCATATTCCGATCTAATAATATGCAGACTTTTTGTCTTAGAGGAATATTTTTCGACTCGGATTTTCTGACTTTTTGATTATCATTTTACTCAATTAGTGCCCCCCCTTTACACCATTTTTTTCAGGAGGGCATACTACTAATTCAGTTTTGATAATGGAAAGTTGAATCAATCAAGTCTGTAAAATCAAATTTGAAAGTTTTTTTAAAAGACGGACTTTTTTTCCAGAATGAGGGCTATTTTTCTGTGTTTTTTTCGGGTCATTCTAATCTTGGGAGCTTCTAGAATCTAGGAAATTTGAGAATCTTGGGATTTTTCATGGATATTGTATATTCAGATCTAGTAATATGCTGATTTTTATGATTAGAATTAGGTTAAACCTTTGAAAATTGAAACTTGAATTTATTGAGGTTTTTCAAAGAATCCTCATTTTTAAAGAGCCCTGGACTTTTTTGTAAAAATGGAGCTATTTCGAGTGTTTTTTTTTCTGGTCATTCTCCAGGACGTCAAAAATTTTTTTTTAATGGACTGTAATACTATGAAAAACTGCTAAAACTGCTAAAAACTCTTCTTCGTCATAAATGTTTACAGTTTCTAAAGACCTTTTTGAAAACCGTTCAAATCTTTCGAAATTAGAAGTCTGACTCAGCAAGCCTGTACCATCCGGAAACATCTTACATGGGAGGTCATTTTACTTTGCGGTTGGGAGCTTCCTGAAATTCGGCCAGAACACTCCTTGATGTACCAGAAGAGAATCTGAAAGTCTCAGCCTGCACATGTTCTTAGTTTCCGAGAGTTAAGGGCTCAACGCCTCAAAATGGTCTATTTTCACGGATTTTTAGTGTTTGCTTTGACTTTGAGACGACCTTTCTCAAAAAATAGGAAGTTGTGCAGGTTGAAACTCTCAGGATCTTTTACTGGTACATTAAGAAGTGTTCTAGGCAATTTTTAGGAAATTCCCTACCGCAAAAAAAAGACCTTCCTTGTTACTATCCTCATTTCTTGCATCTCTATTCTCCGTTGAAATGGGTTGAAAAAGGGCGATTTGCCATATTTGGGTTTTGCGTGTTTCTGTGGCGATGGACAAAACATGGGAAAGGTGTGATGATGAGTGACGAGGGCCCCGTCGGGTTGAATTGCTGACGAAGCCGTGGATGCGGAGCGAAGCAGGCGGGTGCCAGGTGCCATTTTTGCCTCACTGACTCGTCTCCTCGGCACAGCCGGCTCAGAACCGTCTCTCCACTGTTTTTGCTGCTTTTTTCTTTGGAATCGTGTCTTGCACATTATGGTACCGATTTTCGAGGGGAATGAAAAAAATGAACTGCAAAGAGACATCGAGTTTGTAGTTTTGGAAATTTGCGACTTTTTTTTTTCGTTCCTTGAAAGTTTAGAGCATTCTATGATCATTTAATTCGTTTAAATTTTCAAATTTGTGACATATACTGGGAAATCTTTAGTGGCCACTATAGGGTTTTGACGTTTTAGTGGCCACTATAGAGGTTTAATTGCTACTACTAGTTTTAGTGGCCACTTTAGGGATCAATGGATCAACATAACTGATCCAATTTGTTTGTTTTAAAATTATCTTCGCACGGGATATTAAAGGTTTTCGAGACCTCAAAATGATTTCAGAATTTTTCTCCTCTCTTTTGGACCTAAACTTTAATATACAGAAGTCTGAGGAAAATGAGCCTGATAATCTTGTGATAAAGTGCTCTATTGATAATGGAGGGTTATCAGATTTTTATCAAGATTTCGCGATTTTTTAGAAAGTTTTCTTTTCAAATTAAAAAAAAAACGGAATTTTGGTGAATTTTGCACATAAATCCAAGAAAGATAAGCATAAAAATAGTGCTCTATTGATAAACGTCAGAGCGAAAATTCGCAATTTTTCGATAATTTCTGTTACTTTGCCTCGCTGACTTCCCTCCTCAGCACAGGTAGCTTAAAATCGTCTTTTCGCCGTTTTTTTTTTGAATTTACATTTTTTTTATGGTACAGTTTTGGGCGAAATGAGCTAGAAAATCTTTTTTGGACCACGAACTTTTTTTTTTTTTTTGAGAAACCTTGTAAAAGTGTTCCATTGTGGAGGGCTATCACCTTTTGAACAGGATTTCGGAATTTTTAAAGGAATGTTATGAACTTTAAAAAATTGACACTCGGAATTTTGGCCTCTTTCGTGCATAAATCGAAGGAAATTGAGCTTCTACCCTGCTTCATTACTAAACGACAAAGTTTAAGTTTAAATCAGGCCATTTTTGTATCCATTTTTAATTATTTCAATTTCTTTCGTTGTCAAAAGACATTTTGAGACGCTTAAAGTTCGAAACAGTTGTTTATTCGCCGATTTGACCTGTCTCCAGCAATTCCGTTGACAGCCCTAATTGGCCACGAGATCATTTTACATGCCAACCAGCTGACGCTTCCCGTCTGGCGCATCACGGACTCTTCCACTTGATCTCTTATTCTACCGGAGAATCCCTTCTTCAAGTATTTTTTTATTGCTCATTATTGAAAATTTCGATTTTATGGATTCAATCTCATCAAATTTCTTATGTTGGGAACGACATTGAGAATAAATATTGGCATTCTTTTTTTATTCTTTTTCGTTTTTTTAAGGATTTGTAGGTTTGTGCCTTTAAAATTTCTTGTTTTTCAGTCCCTTATCTCGCTCATAAATTTTTTTAAATGTAGAGTTTTGAAGTTTTTCGTCATTAATTTTTTTCTCTACTGCAGTATCATCTCAACGTTGCCAGAAATTAAAAGATTTTTTTATTCGACATTTTTCAAGGTTTTTTCCCAACCATTTGCTATTATAATTTTCGAGTAGTAGTTTGGATATAGCTCATATTTGAAGTTTAAAAAAAGGAGATATTTCTTTTTTTTTCTATTTTGTTGAATCAAAACTATTTCAAAAAAAGACCGTATTTTACAGAAAATGTTGGAGTTTGAGTGAGCGGATCAATTAAATTCGCATTTTTTCAATCATTATTGCCAAGTCACGAAGTGGCTGAAGTAAGACTATTAGTTTTACTCTTCTCAATGAAACAAAAATCCGACTTATTCAGTTTGCTCAGGTGTTATTTTCTTGATATTTTCCGCTTTTTCTGTTTCAAATTATTTATAAAATACAAGTTTTTTTTTGTTAGTGATCGGAAAATTACTCACTCAGGTTGGTCTAAAAAGTTCAGAGAACGTTTTTTCATTCCATGAAATTAAAGTTTAATAAGGGAGTGTCTAAGATTTTATGTGGTCAAAAAACTTTTGGTAGGTTGAAAACGGTATTTTCTTGTTACCTAACTAGGGAACGTTTCTAACCCCCGGTTGAAATTTTGCTGAAACTCTGCTGAAGTGTACTTTAGGACCTCCTGATCCCAGAACAAGAAAAAATTTCTCGCAAAAGTTCTCGTTTTCGAGTTATGAAGCTTCAAATTGTACAAAATACACAAACTAGGCCAAAAAAGCGCTATTTCCAGCTTTTGAAGTGTCCTAACTCGAAAACGAGATAAACTTTTCATAGTCGATGAAACAGAAGGCTTTTTCTACTTGCTCAGGTGGTTTTTCATGATATTTTTTCCTCTTTCTCTGTTTCAAATTTTTTATAAAACAAGTTTTTTTGTTAGTGATCGATTGATTTCTTGCTCAGGTGGTTTGAGGAAGTGTCTAAGACTTTATGTGGCGAATAATGTTTCGGTAGCTTGGGCCCAAAAAAATCCAGCTCAAAAAATTCTTCAAAATTCACAAACTTCAAGAAAAAGGCGTTATTCAGAGCTTTTGAGACGTCATAACTTCAAAATAAGATCTATTACGAGTAATTTTTTTTCTTTTTGTGTGATAAAGGGTCCACACTTCAGTTTCATTGAAATTTTAACCGGGGCCCAAAAAAGTCCCCTTATCAAACATTTTAACATTTTAACAGTCGATTTGCTTGATTGATTTCAAACCTCCGTTAATATTTGTTCAATCCTTTTTGTTGTATTTGCATGTGGTTGTTGTCCCTCGACGGGTCGTCGGCTTCCGTTCGGAAAATGGGCGAGAGTGGCAGGTGGCTTGTGCCCTCACAAGGTATACCTGGCCCGATTTATCCGACTGACCTCGGCTATCTCCGCTTGGCACCCGCCGCTTTAAGCCCTTCCTCGGTGTTCTTTTCTGCTTCTCCTTGAAGTTTTCTCTTCCCAAATGACCGATTTCAAAGTTAAAAGTAGTTTTGGTGGATTCTCGACTCTCCAAAATTTTCTTTATTTTTTTCCCCTCTCCACCAGAGTTACTTTGAACGTTGTATCTTTAGTAAAAAGTATAATTTTTTTTTTTGATTTTGTCATTATTTTGAAGTTTTCCAACAGTGATAGACTATTAGGAGAGAGTATTAGATTTTTTGAAAAATTCATTTTTCGGGATATTCATCCCGTGTTTTTTTGTAGTAGTTATGAACAAACTTATAAGCTTCCATATTTTTATAAGTTTTTAAATTTAGGCGCGAAAAATTTCAAATTTTTGTTCTCGATTAGAGTCGCTATTCAATTTCTTTCTTTTTCAGAAGATTTGAAATTCGCTTTTTTTTTCACCAAAACTAGATTTTTCTCTTGCTCTCAAATTTCAGTTTCACGACATCTCTTCAACTACACCTTTTTTTGAATGGTTTTTATTTTAAAATGGAAGTTTACCTTCAGAAAAAAGTCTTTGTGATTTTTTGGGTGGTTTTGAGTTTATTGCAGATATTCTTTAAAGAAAAAAAAATGGCTCTTCACCTTAGAACCTTTGAAAAATATCCTCCATCAAAAACTTGAGCAAGAACTTGTATCCTGTTGAAGTCTAGAACAGAATTTTATGAAAAACTACATTTTCGAAAAATTTTGCTGCTCTTTGCGGAACTAATTTTCTCAGTAATCACCAAAAATAGGGTTTCCATTTCTCGTTTCGCTTCCCTGATCCGCCCTCCCATTTTTTTTCGGCACTTCTAAAAAAAGACATTAATCTTCACGCTCAACCGAGCTCTGGAGCCTCGGAAAAAAGAACAGAAGGCGGAGGCGGCGAAGCCTCTACACCCACACATGTATCCAGAAGAGATAAGGCTCTCCAAAATGAGCGAATATCTCGCGGCGATCTCCATGTCGGCCGCAGTTTATTCATCAGTGCATAATTTGGATCTCGAGTGTCGTTTCGGGTCTCCAATTTGCGTTGGAGCTGGAGCAGATTCCATCATTTGGCCCCCAAACATCCTCCAGCTTCCGTCTTTCTGGGTGTTCCGCTTCCTTGCCTCATTAACTTTCGCCACCAACTGATACTTTCTGTTCCTTGCGAAATTCCATTTTGAATTTTTTCCATGCCTTCCAGTTGCTGTAACTGTGTGTGTGTTTTAAAAGCTTTTCATTCGGTCAAAATGTCGTCGTCCAGTTTTTCATAGCATCCTATGTGAATTTTTCAAATTTTTTCGAATTTCGAGTCATTTTCTGTGTCTTTTGACTATATAATTGCGAAACGAAGCATGAGATAATTGAAATTCTCCGATTTTTCAAAAGCACATGCCGCACGCTCCTGTTTTGAATCGAGCTCTTATTTCTGAGGCTTTTAAAATAGACGATCTATCCTTTTTCAATGAATGTAAAATTTGCCGAAAATCGGACACCTTTTCCAACGAAGGAAGTTATAGTCTGTTCAGATTTTGAATGTCGAGCAGCTAACTCCGCCTCTAAGGCTACAATATTTTTCGCGTCAATGTTTTGTTCCAGATGACAATGAACCTTCAATATGGCTGCATTTTTTTGACTCCTTTTTCTATCTCTTAGAACAAAAAAAAAAAAAAAATTGTCTTGCGCGATAAAAACATCGGAGCGAAAAAGATACTGTGGCGGCGAGGGCGGAGTTATCTAGTTGACATTTAGAATCTGAACAGACTTTATGAAAAACTTTGGATTACCCTCATGATTTTTCTTCATTTTAAAAAAATGAAACGATTCCACTGGAAAATGTTGAAAAAGTTCAAACTTTTGTGCTGATCTTTTGAAGCAAAATTTCTTCTTGAGCGGCCCAAAATCGATAAGAAAATGTCTTATAATAATATCAGTGGTAATGTCCCTAGTGATATATTCGTCCTTGTTATAAAGCCGTGGTTTTCCACTACCATCATCTCCTAAATCCCTCTATCGGGATCGAACTTACGGCCCTTTGAAAGTAGAACTAACTACAACTTGATGTGCTATGGTTTATTAAGTCAATTATATATTTATTCATCTCCGTTTTTTTATTTCTAGCGACAGATTTCTTGTCGCTAGGACAAGAGCGCGTTTTTTTCGTTATCGCTTTTTTTAAAGTAGTTTTTCTGATTTTTTTAGCTTTTTTTATTTATAAATAAGAATTCATAGTTAATGCACCCCCCTGGTTACAAATCATTTTTGATTAACTTTAAAATCAAATAGAGAAGAAACGAAAATGAAACACGTGCTCCTGTCGTACAACCGATTTTTATTCATGTTTTTTTTCCATTTCGATATTCTTAACTCAAAATCGGCTTTCAGAAACACTGAGAATGCGTCGACCTCGGCCCAAGTCGTACGTGCTGGCGACGTCGGCCAGCATGCAGGAGGACGGCGAGCATCCGTCGTTCAGCCAGGACGAGACGAGGTCTCGAGTTTCCTCATTTGTCTCCTCTTTCGGCTCCCCTTCCATCTACTCTCGCCTCTTTTCATGATATCAAAATTTTCCTATTTTGGTCGATTCTAGTCTCTATACGTCGTATAATTTATTTACTTGTGAAATATGTGAAGTGATTTAGTCCATATCCATTTGTGATCAGTAAACTTTAATTTATTCTCGAGCCGTTTTGATGAATATACTGTTGTTGCTAACAATATTTTCATTTTTGTCCGAGTTTTCTGGAATATTCTGAAAGCCTGCAAACTTTACTGTTTCCCTAGAACTTGGAAAATCCAACCCTTTTCTATTATTTGATCGCTAGTTTTTTTTCACACTTTACTTGGACCTCGGTTACGCAAACCGGACGTTTCTGAGGACTTCTAGGGGCCGCTCTAGTGGCGTCAGAACTCTTAAGTGGTCCCTAGACTAGCTCAGGAACGTCCAGAGCACGTCCGGTTTTGTTACCGAAGTTCGAGAGAAGTCCGGTCCATAGAGCAACTTTACTGCGATTTTTCATTTTTTAGAAAATCGGAAGTTTTGTAAATTACGAATTTCCGGGTTTAGATGTACTGGGAAAATTTTTAGTGGCCACTATAGAGGCTCGCCAAGGACTACTTGGAGAGGACACTGAAGTGGCCACTTCCAATAATTTTTATAATTTTTGAAACAAAAAGAGTGGACCAGTTATCCATTGACCCCTAAAGTGACCACTAAAATTTTGAGTGGTCTAATAGTAGCACTTAGACCTCTACAGTGGCCACTAATTTTTAACCCCTTAAGTAACCACTAATACTATAGTGGTCACCAACACGTCAAAACCCTATAGTAACTAAAAATTTTCCCAGTAGTAGAAAGTTTATTTGAGCAGGTTTCAGGAGATTCCAGAGTGCAAAATAAACCTTTTTTTAAAATTTCAGCCGCGACATGTCGTCGATGGGCTCGTTGTCGTCCGTCGAACACACCTCGAGAAGTCTCAATGCTCCTCATCCTCCAGCCTCCCACCGACTTCATCGATTCATCGCCCTGTTCAGTCATAATGTTGGTGAATTTAGTCGAGTTGTCTGTAGATTCTATTTATCAAGACATTAGACTAACTTAGGAACGCCAGAGCGGTCCCTAGAGGGGCAATCTGAAGAGCATAGGAAGATTTCCGTTTTTGAGATTGTCTTACCTTGCTCTGTATGAGAGTCTGAAGCTTACAAAACTGGCCAGTTTAGTGATTTTAGGAAGGGACAACTCTAGGGGAGCATGTTATTCGTTTTTTTCACTTGAAAATTTGCAAGGCCAGGGTTTCTAGGGTTCCAGTTAGTGGTCCCTCTAGGGGACCTGTTAATCGTTTATTAACATTAAATCTATGAGAAGAATAATTTTCATGTAAAAATCTCAATAAATTCGGGTTTTTCACAAGAAAATATCAACAGAGATTTTATTAAGTTTTTTTAAATTTTAAAACCTGAGAAAGAAGATTGAAAGAACCCTAGAGGGACCACTCAAGTTTTGAGGCTTGGAAGTCAGATCATAAGTTCTTATAAGGACCTTTTGAATTTCACCCCTCTAGGGAGCGCTATTTTGTCACCTATAGGGTCTCTTTTTCCCCTAACCCCTCTAGGGACCACTCTAGAGTTCCTAACAAGAACTTTTTGGAAAAAAATTAGCGTCGAAAACCGAGATTAGCCTGTCTGTCCAAGAATGGTTGGCAAAAAGAAAATACTCCATGAGTAAATTTGAAATTTTAAAAATTTGTAGAACTCAAAAAGGTATCATTTTTCACTGTTTCTCACAAGAAATAGAATGATCTTTCTTGCTAATTTTTCAATCAAGTTCGAGAAATGTAGTATAATTTTCTCAGAAGTCCACCGACGGCACTCCAGAAGCGCCGAAGCAGAGAATGAAGCGTTCGAGGACTTCTTTGCCTTCGAGTCGAGTTCCTTTTCCTCCGACTATCCTTCAAAGGGACCTCATCGAAAGACAGAACTGGGTCAAGCATCAGGTAGACGAGCCAAGAAAAATCAAAGAATTTCGGGAATTTCAGGAGATTGCTCTTGGAAAGTCTGGAAAACGGCGTCAATGGGACGACCGATGGGCGATTCTGGTCGAGCGAAGTCTATTCCTTTGCCTCCAGCCGCCCAGTTTCAGCAATGAGAAGGTAGTGGAATTCTTCAATTCTAAAAAAATGTATTTTTTCTAAGTAATAACCGTTTTTCACAGTCCTAGGACCTAGGAGGCTACACAATTTTTCAATAAATCATGATTTTTTCCGATTTTTCCAATAGAACAATGATATTTGCGGAAAAAAAGACCTTGTGCACTACTTAAAAATTTAAATAAATTGAAATTTTTTTAAAATACGTTTTTACACGCTATTGCGATACTCAAAAAAAGATTTTTTTAAATATTCGGAGAAATCATCGATTTTTTGACTGATAACAATTACTTGAAAATTTATGAATGTCAAAAAAAATATTTTTTTCAATGATTTTTTGAGTCATAAGAGGCACCGAGAATCTGAAAAAAATTGATTTATTCTCCTCTCAAATTTTTTTCTTCTTTTTTTGCGAAGGTGTCAATGAAAAACCCATTATTTCGAAGATTAGAAGATCGTTTGAAACTTTTTTTAAAATTCTATCAAGAAATCATTCATTTTTTTGTTGTGACTGGAATTCGAATTCAAAAAGCCCAAAAAAATTTTTCAATTTTTTTCGTTTTTGGTTCATTTTTTTGAATTTCTGAGTGGGATATGCTATTTTAAAGTCAATTTTTATGTTATAAATTTGTTTTTTTGAAAAATTTGCGCATTATTTTTTTCCGTTTTTTTCCTTTCTAGAAAAATTTTTGAGTCCACTTTATCATTTTTCTCGTCCCTCAATGTGTAGATTTTTTTCTCCATCTATATATTTATATTTCGATTGAAAAACCTTTTCTTTCAACAAGGATGTAGTTTGAGAAGTTGGGTTGTAACGCGGCTCAAATTTCACAGCTGCAAGTTTTTTTTTCGAGTGATCTCTCTCTCGTGGTTCATAGGTTCTACACACGGAACTTTATTGATGAGAAAATTTCTATGTAGTTTGAACGATAGTTATGTAGAGAGCATCAAATTTCACATCTTCAAGGTTTTTTTAGCAAATAATTTTTCAGTTTCACGAAATTTTTCTCCATTCATTCAGATTGAAATTTTATTGATAATAATTTCGACTTCTTAAAGACTCAAAAACATGGAAAGATGAAAAGTTAATAGACTTTCCCTAAAGTTATCAAGAAAATGACATTTTATTTTACTCAGGAGCGCCAGAGGTCCCTGAAGGGGTCAGCTAAAAAACAGCTTAGGAGACAGAATAGGTGCTCCCTGTAGAAATCAAGTTTGGAGGATCCCTACTAACTAAATCATCTTGTAGGCGCCACTTTTGGGAGTTTTAGTGGCCCCTATAGTGGGGATAAAGTGGGCCATAGAACCTTCAAGGACCACTATGTTTGCTTCTATAGGGTCCACTCTGGCGACCCTTAGGAAGACAGCATTTTGATTACCAGATTATAAGATTCAAGGAATATTTTACTTGAAGAGCATACGTCAGCTGGATCCCACCCCGGGGTGCGGCCGTTTCATATTAAAGTATGAAAATCTTTTAGCTCGATTACGGATTCTTTAGACCATTCTTATGATTGTTTTTTTATCATTTTCAGACCGAACTTGAAGGATTACTATAATTTTTTGTATTTTCCAGGTCGTCGAGCTCGGAGCCCACACGCGAATCGACATCCAGTCCTCGATCGTCGACATCGCCTACGACTATCTGTCGTCGACGCCGACCAAGCAACGTCACGTCGTCCGGCTCGTCACTCAGACTCGTTGTGAACATCTCATCGAACTGGCCACGTGAGCCGATTCTTGTCCCTTTTTGTGTATATCATCCTTCGGAACATGATGAATTCTATATAGCAGTTGGAATGACTTTTTTTCGACTGATTTATGGCTTGAAAAACGGCCAAGAAAGCCTTTTAAAGTTTGATGTTTGGAAAACTATGAGTTTAGTTCTATTTGACAATTCTTTTCATCGCATGAGCCGATTCTTGTCTTTTTTTGTGCATTTAATCCGTCGGAGCTTCATGGTTCTAAACTAGAAGTTGGAATGTGATTTATAGCAAGAAGAAAAGAAAATCTTAGAAAAATTCTCATTTTCTTGAAAGTTTACAAATTTTTGATGTGACGGGAAAATTTTAGAAGTTGAAAATTTGCTTTTTGAGCATTCTGGACTCACCGTTTGGACTATAATAATATGTTCATTAGGCCTAATTCTTAAATTCGTTTTTTTCGAGTTCCTGTGAACAAAGGTTGAATTACGGTAGTCAAATTCGATTTTTGTAGGATTCTCTGGGAAAAAAAGTTGAGCTAGTGTGAAGATTTGATTTTACTTTGCATAAAATTAAAGAAGAAATTAGAGTACTTGATGGGAAGAATAACTCGAAAATGGAGGCCATGTAGGTTTTCATACTTCTGTCGGCTTGGCTTCATGATTTTCTCAATTTGAAGCTCTTGCTTTTTTTTTATAGTCAATTTTTAGAAACTTACAGGTTTTTGTCATATATAATTGATTTTTCCAGGGAGTCCGAGATGCTGTCGTGGATCACGGTCCTCCAATCGAGCTCCGAAGGGAATTTCGAGCCGGAATCTCCGAGCTCCGCGGCGGCGCCTCTGCCGTCGACGGCCGAGGAACGGATCTCGCCGCCGTCTTCCGCTTCCGCCAAACCCCAACTTCACAATTCCTACTCGGTTAGTCTTTTTCGGAGGTTGTTGTGAGGTTGCTGTCACCGAAAAGAGGAAGGAAATCGCCACACAGGAAATTGACTTTCTTCAAATTTTCCTCCCCCAAAGTCTTCTTTCACGTGTTTTTCCATGGGTTCGCAAGTCAGAGAACACTTTACACGATCGAGGTGACAGAGAGGATCGTCTTACTTTTATGAAGTGCTTTGAGCTTTTTTTCCAAGGTTAGGGGCTGAATGAAACTTTTTTATTGACTTCGGAAGTTCTTGAGCGAAAAAAAGAAGGCTGAAAATTTTTTTCGAAGTTGGTTCTTACTGGCTGAAACTCTAGCGGCCGCTTGAGTGGCTTCTAAAGAACTACTTAGAGAGGATATCTCTATTCAAGCGTCCTAGTGGCCACTATAGTAGTTTTTACTGATCTAGTAGTATCACTTGGACTTTTAAAGAGGCCGATAAAGTTTAGCCACTGAAGTGACTACTAATTCGACTATTATAAAGGCCAATAAAACGTCATAACCCTAAAGGGGTCACTAACTTGTTCACTATTGTGACCACTGAAAGGTCAAACCCCTAAAGAGCCCACTGAGAATTTAGTTTTTGCTTCGTTGTTTTTTGCCGAGATTTTGTTTTTTGCCCTCCATTTGGCTATCAGAAAAAGGTTTTTTATTCGCATTGAAACAACTTTCCAGTTTCAAAAACTAGTCAAATCAAATCGAAATGTTGAGGTCAACAGTAAATCAATATCCCTATCTGAAAAACGTCGTTTTTCGAAGTTTCAGGCGTGACTTATCAGCTTATCGATCAGATTTAATAAACTAACCTCATTTAAAAACTTTTTTTGAGTCTATTTGCCGCACTCATTTCATTCTTCATTGATTTTTTTCAGTTTATTTGTTTTTATGAAGTTCGAGTTTATAATTAAAACCTGTTTCATGTTTTTTGAAGTACAAGAGTTTTTGATTTAAAAAAAATTTCATTTTTGGTCAGTTTTTTTAGAAACCTTTCTGGGATTCTCAGATCTTGGTTGAATTTTTGAGGCTTCTATGGGTTCTTTTTTTCACATCCTCAATTGCACGTTTTGAACTCAGCTTTTTGCTAGTTTATCACCCAGAAAGCCTACTTTTTTCCCTGATGCAGAAACTTTCCGTGTAAGTTGAAAAAAATAAATTTTTTCTGACTCAAAATCTCAGAAATTCCTCCCTATAAGCTTGAAACTTTTAGTCATCTTTCTATATTTTATCGGGTTTTTTTTCATCTTTCTTTGAATTTTCTTTTCATTTTTCTTCAGAAGCAAAAAACGTCTATGTGTAGATTCTGCGCCTGCCTTTTTTGAATAGAAAAAGCTCAAAAGACGGCGTTTTTGAAAACGTCTTTTCTTGCTTTTTGAAATCCCCGGATGTGGATCAAAGAAGAAAATTGGGAACAAAGTGTGGGGACGACGGCGACGACGACTTAGAAGGGAAAGAAGGAGGAGAGGAAGAGGCTAATGTCTCGGAATGCAACACGAGATTCGGTTGCCCCTTTTGGGTTGCACACGCATCTCCGGCCGTTCTTCTGCTTCTTTCCCGCCCGTCTTTTCCCCCTTCTTGGTCGCTCATTTGCTGCTGTCGAGCCACTGGCCTATCTATAGATCTGCTCATCATCAAGCTTTTCCCCACGACTTGCTTCTCCGTTTTCCTCGTCTTCTTTTTTTTCGGTGGAAGCTTGAAGTTGGAAGAATCCGATTAAGGAAAAGAAGAAGAAATCAACAAGAATAGTCTTTTCCCTTTGAGGTTGCGATTTTTTTAAAAAATGGCTAGAACAGTTTTTGATATACAAGAAAAAGATACTGAAAATCCCAATGTGCAAAACTTTCCACTTTTCAAGAAAGGACACCTAAAATTTAAAAAAAAACTTTCAAACTTCATTAGAGAAGGCTATTTTTGGGCATTGAGCCCTTGTTACTCAAAAAATAAATTTTGTACAGGTTGAGACTTCCAGGAGCTCAAGATTGTACTTCAGAGGACAGTTGGACAAGTTTCAACCGAAAAAGTTTGATTTTTCACATTTTTTCCTGAAGGTTTCCAGTTGTGAGGCGTTAGTTGGTCCGATTGACAAGAATTTTTCAAAAAAATCAAAGAAGTAGAAAAAAAATGGAAGTTAATTTGATACATTAAAAAAATCCATGCAGATCTTGAAAGAAGTCAGTTGAAAGTTTAAAAATTTTGAAAATCTAAGAAAAAACCGACTAATCTATAGATCCGCTCATCATCAAGCTTTTCCCTTGCTTCTCTGTTTTTCTCATTTTTTTTGGAAGTTGGAAGCTGGAAGAACTTGATTAGGAAATAGAGGGAGCACAAAAGTGAGCTCGATTGATGAAACTTGGTTTTGAGCCAAAAAAAATTTAGTTGAAAAGTTTTACTTGCTTTTTTTTCTCACTGAGAAACATAGGATGATAAGAATTTTTGAAAAAAGTGTGAAAAAAATGTGTTCAAAACCTTGAATATTTATGAAAAAGTCAGAAAAATTACATCAAAACTTTCAAAACGAGGCATAAATGCGCTCTATCGCTAAGTTTCCCAAAAAATTACTGTTCACTTAGCGCATTTTCCAGCTTCAACTTGCCTCAATTTTACTTTCCCGTCGGACACTTTTCTAATGAACTTGTCGACGTGTACTTTTCCTTCTTTTCCCTCCTCCGTCGCTATTTTTGCTCCTTCTGATTCTTGACGAGTCGATTCGAGAGCCTGTTGTCCAATTAGGGTAATTGATACTTCACGGAGATGGCTTTTTCTGAGGAGTTTTTCGTGGTTTTGAGAAGGATTTTTGGCTTGTTCCTGGTTTGTTTGGATATTGAAATTAATCTAAATTTTTGAAAAAAAGTTCGAATTTTTTTGTACAAGTCAGAGAGATGAAAAAAAAACCTGAAAAAACGTGATTTTTTTAAAATTTTTTTTTTCACTCAATCTATCGCTTTCAGATCGTATTTGACCCAAAAAATGAAATTTTCATTAAGTTGCCCTTAATTTTGCAATTTTTAAGACTAACAGGAAATCGAGTCATTTTCAAGTTTTAAGTTTCTATCCATTTTCGATTTTCAACGTCTTCAAGGATATTTTTTCAAATTTTTAAAGCCCAAAAAAACAGTTACTTCCCCCAAATCATCAAATAAAACCGCTAAATCTTGTTTCCCAATCCATTTTACATCACAAATTCCTCTCAATCGAATCACGTTTTTGGCCGTTTATTTTTAAGCTTCAATTTCCTCCACGCAAATATATTCTTTTTCCGCAGCTGGAAATAACTTTCCCGAGGCTCAAAATAGCCTTTCGAGAGTAATTGTGAAATGAGAGAAGGCGGGAAAAGCGGAAATAAGAAGAAGAAGAAGACGAAAAAAATGTTTACGACTCTTCTCGAATTTCTTATCGCATCACTAGTTTTTGTAACTAGAGTGCAAATTTGAAGGGAAAATGGAACGCAGCAAAATTTGAATGAAAAGATGAAAATGATGGTGACAGGAAAAAAAAACCGTGGTTAAAGAGGATAAACCGAGCTTTTTTGCTCCAGTGATAATTCAGGATAAATTTTGTTTTCTCTTATGATTTTTTCCGCATCTGGAATAAAACTTAGAGTAGATTTATATATGAAATCCGTTGGGAAACAGAAAAAAAGCAGCGAATTGTCGACAGAGCGCACTAGATCGGCTTTTTTTGGCTTTTTTTCTCATTTGGTTTTTTTCGACTTTTTTATTATTTTTTTCTTGAAATCATTATTTTATCATTTTTTTCTAGGACCATTCGAAAATACACACAGTTTTTTGGACACTTCCCTTCAGAATTTCCCAAACATTCCCGTCATATACGAAACAAAAATCATTTGTGTTTTCTTCGGCTTTTTTCCCATGTTTGGAAATAAACGGCTGAATGTTATATTTTTTTTTCCTCAAAGAGACGCGCCTTTCTTTCGCCGATTTTCCCAAACATGATGTATACATGCATATGTATCGATTTGGTCTCGTTTTTTCTTTTCCTAAACATTTTTAGCTTTTCTTGAAATTTTTTAAGAAAGCAATGTGTAATTTGATGGATATACTTGATTTTGAAGTCAAAAAAAAAATTTTTTTTTCACTTTTCCCATCATAAATCTCTTTTTGCATGACTTTATTTGACTTGGAGGAAGTTTTGATGTATTTTATTGATAAGTAAAGACCATTTTTATGAAATTTGAAGGTTTTAAAAACCCGGAGAACGTTATTACTTTGTTCTTTTTTTCATGTGAAAAAAAGTTTTTTCTAAAATCTTTTGTTTCTGTGATTTCATTCATTTGAAAAACTCTATCTTTTTCGGAATAACATTTTTTTCCATGAATTGAAAAAAAAATTTTTTTCAATCTTGACTTGAAAAATACTTTTTGAAAAAAATGGATTTTACTGATTTTTTTAAAAATTTTTTTGAATAAGTTTGGCCGCATTTGGAATGTCTGTTGCGTTGAGATTCCTAAATTCAGAAAGTATTCATTCGTTTGATATATTCTAGACCTTCAAAAAAAATTTTTAGTTTGAATGAAATCGCAGAATTTTGATCATTAACTTACGGTTTCATTCATGGTTCAAAATTTGAGGTGATCTTAGATTTCTTAGTTAGAGATTGGCTCTCAACACTGACACTTTTTCTCAGAAATCTTGAGGACTTGAATTAAATAATCTTTTTATTATAAGAAATGAGTGTTTCTATGGTTGTTATAGTGGCCACTCAAGAGGTTCCTTAAGGACTACTTGGAGAGGGCACTAAAGTGGCCACTAAAACTTCAAAACCCTAAAGTGCCCACTAAAAGTTTCTCAGAGTGTCATCAGTTTCCGTGGCCGAAAGAGGGGAAAAGCTCTCTTGGCAACCTTCCCCCCATACTCCTATGGAAGGCTTCCGCAGCCGCTCATTAACGCTCACCGGGCAAAGGAGGAAGGGAGCAAGGTCGCTCTCTCGCACACGCACACACACGGGCTCAGCCAAAAATACGCTTTCTGCCTTGTCAACGGCGCAACGTGAGCCAAGCGCCTCCGGCCTTGAGCATGAGCATGAGCATGAGCGTGGTTTTGAGCGGGCCCACCCGTCTCTCTCCCACTCTCTTTCGTCCGTTTTTGTCGTCCTCCGTTCAATACGAGGAGGAGGAGGAGACGCCGTCAAAACAAACCCTCTGTGTGTTCGTCCTGTTTTTTTTTTTTTCCTAGCTTCTTCTTTTTTTTCCCTGGGTTCAGGTCGCCTATATTGGGCATTATTCATTTGTTGGTCGGTTTTGGTTCTTTCGAATCAATTGGAGAGTCGAGAAGATTTATTTGGGCTCACCTTCTGGGGTCTTAAGGGTTGTCCTGGGACATCTTGACCTCTTTTTTTTTTACAAGATTTTTAAGTTTTTTACCTTGAAACCCTAAATTTTTAAGGTTCAAGCATACTTCCAACGACAGGAAAAGCCTATGAAACCAACATTTTTGAACTCTTCCTCTCTTTTCTCGACTCGACTCGATTTTTATTTTATTTTAATTTTTCAAAATGTGAGTCTAGTCTACTCTCGAAGCAGACATTCTGGAATATTGTTGCAAATTTCGCCTTTCAATTCACCTGCCGCCTCAATGTTCAGTTAATCAGCGAGAAATATATGTTTCATTCAGAAAAATTGTTGTCGTTGGATGCGAAATTGATTGTAGTCTGATGTTTGAGACCGAAATAGGTTGAGAAATCGTGGGTGGATTTCTTTAATCATCTGGGGGAGTTTCTAGTGGTCACTTTAGGGTTTTATGGTCGCTATAGTAGTCCAAGTGGTGGCCACTTAAGTGACTGAAGTTTAGTGACCCCTTTAGAAGTCTAAGCGGTACTAATAGACTACAAAAAAACTTCTATAGTGGCCACCAAGACGCAGAGGCTTCTATAGAGCTGATTTTAGTGATCACTTTAGTGTCCTCTCCAAGTTGCCCTTGAAGAAACCTCCCTCTTAAGTGACCACTAGAGTTTTTTAGTCTTTTTTGTTGAAAACGAAAGTAGAAATTCATAATAATAATGACATTTTTGAAAGAAAAAGTTGATTTTTAAATTAAAAATTGCTCTAAACTTCGAACTTATAGACGTAATAACGTAGTATGAAAACAAAATTTTCAAAAAAGAAAATTTTTTAAATCTTTTTTCATGCTCATTTTTTTGTATCTCTCCCGCCAAAAATCTGTTTCTAAGTTTTCCGGTTTCACTGCGCGAAAGTAGTTTCAGGTCGGGCGCATTTTGAAGTTAGCCAAAAATCATGAAAAGCGTCAGAAAATCTGATTTTTTGATAGAGAAAAATCTTTTTTTCCGGAAAATATCAAATTGACGTCATTTTTTTCGAATCCAACTGAAAAATATATGTTTTCTTTTTTTTTCTGCCGCTATTTGATGAAATAATCAGCGGGTCCTCCCCCAATCAATTAGTCGGGTTGAAATGTCTCAATTTGGCCGCCGGGATTTGCGTGAAATTCCAGCTTTTCGGCGCGACATCGACGACGGCTAATGAGCGTAATTATGCAGAGAGCGGGGAAGATTCTGACGTTTCGAAACGCGATCGCCGGAAAAGATGGCTCATATTTATATAGTTGTAGTAGTAAAAGTAGGGGAGGAAAAGACGGGTTTGTGTCCTCCTTCTCAGTAATGAGCGCGAGAAGAAGATCCATTTTTGGCATCTGGCTCGGCTTGATGCAGCAGCAGAAGCAGAAGCGCGACTAACAAGTCAAAGTAAGGAGTTTTTTTCGGCTTCTTCTTTTTTTCGGCGACGCGGAAAACGAGGGGAGGAACAACCGACGACGGGGCAAGTGTGTGCTCTTCTCATCGCTTCTTCTTCTTCTCCGTCGTCGTCTTCTTTTTTTCGGCTCTCATCTAACATGGTCCCTTTCCCGTTCTGTCATCAATACTCTCTTTTTTCGAGTTTCGTTACCCCAATCTTTGTCGCCGAAGTTGAAGTCGAAGAATTTGAAGCTTTCTCATAACTGTTCTTGAAAGGTCTTTCCTTCTCGAATTTTTGAAAATATGGCTTTTTCGAAGATTTTTCCAGAAAAAGTTGACGTCGGCATCGCTGAAGATCTGAAGACTTTTTTCCAAAATTCGAAAATTTTCTCCATAGTTTCCTTGGTAAGAACCTGGCTGCATATACAGTTCGAAAAATTCAGAATTTTTCACTCTTGAACGCTTTCGATTCTCCCTACTTTTCTTGGCCGCATTTGGAATGGTTCAAAGCGTCGCGGTTGAAAGTTTTGCAGCTGGTTTGAACTATTTTTTTCTGAGTAGAAGAAGGAGCCAGCGAAAAAAATAATGTTTCAGACCTTAAAGTTATTTTTTTTCATTTTGAAACTTCATAGTCAGCTTTCCACCGATTTTTGTGAAGTTTCTAACTTTTAGGTAGAACTTTTTTTTTCCTCGTAATTTTCTCAATATTTCGAAAGTTGAACTTGGCCTTTTTTCAAAATTTCCTCTAGCCTCTCAATCAATATGCGTCGTTTTTTTTTCCTCATTTTGTTTGCCCATTTCGTTGGCTCCCTTTTAGTCAAACTTCGGACTCCGTTTTGACATGTATCAGATCGACTAATCTACCGGTTCTTTGCTGTCTTTTTGAAGATTAGATCACATTTTACTATGTTGTAGTAATTCACTTTTCATTTAGGAAATGTTCTTTTGAGAGGATTTGCCCTGAGAGTAGGTTAATCTTCAGAAATCGTTATCATGGAAGTTTTCGCAGAAATCAAATCTTTTCTCAGTTCAAAAAGTTCAACTTTTATCAGAAAAAGGCAGTTTTGCTTGAGAGTTTCTAGCTCAAACAGGCCGTAGAGGAGATCTTTTTGAACTGTATTTCAAAACTTTCAGCTAACCTTTAATTTATTTTTTTCAAAAGTCCGATTTCAAGTTGAAACCCATTGCTAAAGTTTCAATTCAAAAAAGTTTTAAATTTTCACCTCTAAAATATTTTTTTTATCGATAATGATCCTTGGTCGCACGTGGAATAGTTCAACTAATGGTTAGAAAGGTATGCAGCTGATTTGAACGCTTCCCGATGCCCAAGTGCGCAAGTCGTTTTAGGTCGGCCACATCTTGAAAAAACCGCAACTCGATGTGCTATTCCGCGTGCATCCAAAGGTTCCTTCATTTTGGTGAACAATAATGCTTGAAATCAAAAAAAGCGTTTAAGAACCTTTTTTTCTGAAATGATCAATATTTTTTGGCTTTTTGCTTGTCTAATTTGTGGCCTCCCTTCCAATGCCTTCAACTCGCTGTTTTGTGGGTCGAAAGTCGATCGAATTTCACTCGACGCTTCCCTCCTCCTCGTTGATTTTTTTTTGTTTCTTTCTCCTTTTTTCCTGTTCGTTTGCCTCCCGCTGGTGCCGGTTTTTCCTTCCTTTCTTCCTTCCTTTATGCAGTCATAAGACCTATAATTCTTGCGAGAGTGAAAGTTTCCTTGCAGGAAACTTCCTGCATCATTCTAATTAGTTCTGGAAACAATTAATCAAGTTGATTGTTAATTGAAAAGTGCAAATGGACTTTTTTCCGTGTTTTGGTCAGCCTTTTTGTATAGATACTGATTTCATGGATTTTCGCAAAGTACGAAGCATTTTGACCGGATTAGTAGAGAGACTCAAATTATTAGCCTCGCCTCGACTTTATAATCCGGAAATCGTTAAAATTGAAGGTTTCGAAGCTTTGAACCAGGGTTTTGGTCCCTTTTATACCCAAATATTGCTGGATGTTTTTTCATGTACTTTCTTTCTCATTCTTCCTTTTTTTAAAGACCATTTCTGAATAGAAAATTTTTTAAAAAGCAGATTTCAAGCGATTTTTCGAACTTCCAGGTTTGGATAAGTTTCAATTTGAGTTCAATTGGTTTCTACTTTATGATAACTTGTTCCCGTCTCTCCTAAGTCTAGAAATATTTATCAAGCAAATCGTTTAAATCTGATAATTTGAAATCTTGACAGTTTTTTTGGAAAAAAATTTATTTTTTTATAAAATGGCCATTTTTTTATTCATGCCTTTTTTTCACTGCATACGGTATGAAAATGAGTAGTTGTGTCCTAAAATTCATTTTTATTACCATTTCACGATTTTCTGGTTTTTTGAAAGATTGGCTTGAAAGTTGATCTTCAATCTCTGTTTCTCAAACTTTCTCGACTTCAAGCTCCATTCATCATTTTTGTGAACGACGTTTTGACAGTTTTTTTTCTTTTGACAGTTGTGAAGGCTTATGATTGATTTTCTAGAGGAAAAATTCATTTTTGAACCGAGGTTTAGTCGCAGCAGAACACTTCGATCATTCAGTGAAAAAATTTTTTTTTACTTAAAAGGTACGCTCTGATTTTTGCTTTTTTTTCAAAAAAAGGATATAAGCCAAGGATAAGGAGGCAGAACTCTACACACACACAGACACACGTGACGACTTTCGAGGTGCATTAAAAGGAATGGGCGGAGATTTGCGGCGCCGGTGAGAGTGGCGTTAAATAGGCGTTGCTCATAATCGTGGCTAATCGTGAGAAAAGGGAGAGTCCGCTCCATCGCTCGATTCTCGTCAAAATCTTTGTTTTTTTTCTACCGTTTTTAATTGATTTTTTGAATTTTTTTTTGATTGACAAGAAGGTCTTTTCACCCTAGGCCCCAACATTTTTTGATTTATCATAAAAAGATCTTGAAAGATTCAACCTGCACGATTTTCAAGACTTCAGGAGTGAAAGCCAAATAAAATCCTCAGAATAGGCTTTTTCGGGACCCGGATTTCTTGAATAACGGAAAAAATTTATAGAGAAAATACACGGCGAAAAAATGAAAACACGGAAATTTGGCTTGACTTTTCACGATGCTTTTTGGATTTGAAGCGTAAATTGGAAACTATCGAGATATAGAGGTCTAATCCCTTCTAAATCGGATACTTAACTGAGCCATGAAGGCATCTTTTTTGCATTCTTTGATTTTTTTTTGAAGCCGAAAAATGGCAAAGTTTCGATAGTTAGTTCAGCAAAAAAATTAATTTAAAGATCAATAATTCAAGGAAAGAATTAAGAAAGTAGAAAAATTGATTTTTCATAGGTTTTGAAGCTTGAAAAGGCTGAAATTTCGATATTAAACCAAAAAAAGGTCCGTTGCTAGAAGTGCTGAAGTTGAATTGGAAAAAGTTATTGAAATTTTTATCAAATTTATCTAAGATTCAAGAAATAATAGAGACATTCATTCATGGATCAACTGCTCGACGAAATAATTGAGTGAGAAAAAAACGATTTTTTTCAGTTTTGATTTTTCAAGCCTAAAAAAATTCCAAAATTCTGATAGCTCGCCCAAAAAAAGGTCCCTTCTCAACAGTTTTTTTGAAGCTGGATCGTAAATATTATTATCGAAGATTTCTAAATTTTTCTAGATCAGTTACTCAAAAAAAGAAAAAAATCAGTAAACATATTTATTTTGATGGATTTAGAAGTCTAGAAGTCCCAGAATCTCGATAGATTGCCAAAAAAGGTCCCTTGTCAACGAGTACTGAAGTTGGATTTGAATCATGGAAAACTACTCTGACGGCGGGGCGGAATAATGGCCGACAACGAGGGCCGACACCAATTTGGGCGTCGACTGAGTGCCGCCGCCGCCGCCGCCGCCGGCCGCCGTCGATGATTGCAGAATTTATTAATACAGGAGAGGGCCGGAAAATGAGGCCTTCTCTGTATATGTGGCCTCCATCGACACTCACTCAAAAATACATGTACAAGAGTCGTCCTTGAACAATTTTCCACACACAGAGCGACACACCTTTCCCAATGTTTGCCTTGGATTCCATTCACCGGCCCGATTTCTCATTGTAATTCCGACTATTTGGTTGGTTGTTTGGAAGTTTCCGCTACTTTCAGACTCTTTCTTATTTGCGAGGTCGAATTTTTCTCGAAATTTCGTCTCTTTGGAAGCTTTTGGAATAGTTTTGGGGGAATTTATACTTTCCTCACTGTTGTAACTTTAATGAGAGCAGATTGGACTTTTAACACATTTTTTCAATTTTATCTTTTTTTGAAGATCGGATCCTCCAGTCATTCTCTTTCGATATCAGATAATTATTTTTTTACATTGTTTTATGAATCTTGTAGTTAGTTTGCCGATCAGACGCTCCAGTACTTCTGAAATTTTTTTAAAAAAATTATCTTATCAGGTTTTTTTGCTTGAAACTGATTTTTTTCTAAACAAAATCTGAGTCTTCCAACTTTTTTTATTTTTTTATTTGATGCTCTCCGAAAATTGAGAAATCGGAAAATGATTGTTTCAGTTCGAGTTACACTTCTGTAATTTATCCGTGGAGCGCACTTCCTTCGTAGAATTTTCTTTTTTGCGGCGATTTTTTGTAGAGCCTTTTTCTGACCTTATTTCATGTTAACTGACCTTCCTACAGATTTCCCATCAAAATTTTTTTGTTTTTTTCTGTTTTTTTGGCTTTTTCTGTCAACCTATCCATTTTTGGAAAAAAATATTTTTTTCAAAAAAATTCAATTTTTTTGAAAAAAATTGGAGATTCCGTTGGTTTTTCCGAGTGAACTCCGATACATTAAAATTTTGCAAATTTCATTTATTTTCACCTCTTTCAACCTTGATAAGGCGAAACCTCGTGTTTCCTAGCTTTTTTTTTTTCAAAGCCCCGGAAAAATTTTGAGAATACCTGTTACGGTAACAGATTTCCTGTGTGCTCATTTTCCAAAATTCCTTAACTATTCGGTCAAAATCTTGCCCATTGATGCTGCTCTACGTACTAGATGGGAAACAGACCTTCAAGAAAATTGTATTTGCAGATCGCGTCGCTGGCGTCTTCATGTTCGACGGCGGCCTCTGAACGGCATGGCGTCGTGCCGACGTCGCGCAGCACCCACAACTGCACGTCGACCCCCGCCGTCGCTTCCGCCTCGACGTCTTCTGCGTGCTGCGCCGCCGCTTCCAACGCTTCCAACGCCTCCGCCACCAACCAATTAATTATGCACAGGTCCGTTCGTCTCATTTACACGTAGGACTTCCAGTATTTGTGAGATCCATTTATTTGTGAGAAGCTTTTTAAAATGCATTTACGGCTGTATTTTGGGTATTTAAAGGCCGCTTTTGAAAAATACAAGAGACAGGGTGTTACTAAGGAGCCAAAGTTTTTTTTTGACTTTTTTCTGAATTTCCGAATTCCAGAGCTTCAGCTTTTAGTAAAATGAGAACACACTTTTTCATTAATTTTGGGTTCTCTGGCTTGATTTTATCTTTCAGAACAAGGTTTTGAGTAATAGAGGTGTCCTGATTGTATGAAAATTTAATTTTAAAGAGATATGGAAAAAAAATTTTTTCGCTGCTGGATTTTTTTATTCTCGTTTTCTGAACTGTTTTCCTGATTTTTTTTTTCAATTTCTGTTTAAATTTTACCATTTTTTATTGAAAAAAGTATTTTTTTGCTTTTAAGACTGTTGGTATCTCATCAGGCCAAAAATTTGAAAAAAGTTCAATTTCACGGTATCAAATTTCTACTGTCCTTTTTTCGAATAACAGGGTTTTGGATTTAAAAGTTGAAAAATATCAGAAATTTCGTAAAATTATCTTAATATAACATCAAAAATTCAACCTCCTTAAACTACCAGAGAAAATTGAAAATCAAAAAAAAAGAACGCCTTTTCTCCTAATTTTCCTGAAAAACTGTAACTGCAGCGCGTAAAAGGATCATCATTTTCTGTTTTTTTAAACGTATTTTGGCATTCTGGTGTCGTGTTGATGCTCAATTTGATTTCCATAAAACGGGATTGTAATTGTATGCGAAACGATTGTGTTTTGATAGAACCAGTGGAAAACGGGAGAAACCCTTTTGTCAGGGGGTTCACAAATCGTTTTTGCGCGGCGACGGCGGTTTTTCGTTTGAATTGAGGAGAAGGTATAGTGACCGTCAGGTGTACAAACACTTGTTCAGTTTCGTCGCCCCTTGCAACATCGCTTCATATTCTCATATTCGTCCGATCAATAAGTTTCTTTTTCGTCATCTTCTGCACTAAGAAAATCTGAGCGCGATATCCCTGGCTTGACATTGACGATATCGCAAAAGTGCTGCTTTTTAACCACGTGCCGGTCTTGCCATTTGAAAATTTGAAAATTTAATTTTGCGATAGAAATGCGATGTCGCGTCAAGGAATGTGCGAGTCCGGCGCGGCGACAACGCGGTTCATTCGCGACATCGCTTTTCTCTCGCCGAGTTATCTTAAGCTTGGCCTGAATTTTTTTTTGAGGCTTTCGAACCCAAGTTTTTCTTTTTGAATGGCCAAGAGAGCCTGTAAAATTTTTAGGAGCTGAAAAATGAATTTAAATCTCAAAAGGAGCTCAGTTTTTGATGGTAGAGGAAGCTAGGAAAATGGTGAGAACGGATATCGATCAATTTGTAGGAAAAAATTTAGGTCCGTCTAGGATTTTTGTAAATTTCCCGCAAGTTTAGTCATCCCAGCGAGCTGGTTTGGCTGGGCTTTTTTTCTTTAAATTTTAAATTCCTGATCTTTTTTTCTAAGGCTTTTTTTCGATAATTTGCAAGCTCAGATTTGATAATCAGTGGGAAAAAAATTCCTCTCCAACTGGAAATTTTTGTTTGACATTAAAAATGAGGAAATAAGCTTACAATACTTTTTTTGTTGAGAAAAATTCATCTTTGTTGGTATTTTTGTACTTATTAACGGTTAGAATTTGGAAAAAAAAGCGTCTGAACCTCTCCTTTTGCACACTATTTTTTTATTTGATTTTTATCAAGAACTTCATCAAAAAACGCTCAAAATGGATTAAATGGATTTGAATGGATTAAAAATTTTTTCCTTGATTCTTCTTTTCGCTCTTCTCAATTGCACTTTTTTAATTTGAGTTTTTTGCAGGTACAAAGCGAAAACGTCGCAGCTCCAGTCGCCAGTTTCGAACAAGCGAATGGAAAACGCGACGGCGACATCGCATTGTGCGGCTCACGCGGGAACCAGTCGCGAGAGCACCAGCGGAGAGAATGGAGGTCCGTTCCCGACAACAATAATAATAATAAGAGGCTTTTGGGCTCCAAAGAAAGGAATTTGATTCTCCTCTGGAGGGAATTTAATATGATTTTACTAAATTTTGAGGAAAAAAAAGTTGGTTTAAAAAAATATAAAAAAAATCTTTGATGGTAAACTTTCGTATAAGATGAAGTCCGAATTTTCTAGATTGCATATTTTTTCGAGGAAAGGCTAAAAAGAGAAGTTATTATTTATTATTTAAAAATTCTTTTAAAAAAAGAATTTCTAGTGGCCTCTTTAGGGTCCTTGCCACTATAGTAGTTGAATTAGTGACCACGTAAGTGGCTGAAGTGTAGGGACCTCTTTAAAATTAGGTGATACTACTAGACCATTGAAAAATACTATAGTGGCCACTAAGACGCGAAATAGTGGCTTCTATAAAGGTAGTTTTTGTGGCCTCTTTAGTGTCCTCTCCAAGTAGTCCTTGAGGAGCCTCTCAAGTGGCCACTGGAGTTCTTCCTAGTGAGTCGAAACGCTTTTTAGATGTACCGAAAAAAGATTCTGAAAATCCGCGAATTTTACTAATTTTGGAGATCAGATGTCTTGAATGGCAAGGAAACCATCCAAAACCTTCTGAATGCTCCATTCTGATTTTTTGAAAAATCAGAAGCCTTGCATTTTCAGATTTGAAAAGTTTACAGAGGTTTGATTTTTTGGAAAGTTTTACACCTCGACCTTTCTCAGAAACATACGAGAAAATTTCTCCAACATTTTGTAAACTTCTGACCTTTGCAGCCGAGGCGACGACGCCAAAGTCGACTCGGAAATGGAAGAAGTCGAAGGCCGGCAAGCAGGGCAGCAGCGGATCCAGCAGTTCGAGCAGCCAACACGGCGTCGCCGCGGCCAGTGGCGCCCACGCGGCCCCGGGCGCTGGACATCTGTCGGCCGTCCTGGGAGTCCGACTCGCCGAGTGCGCCGTCGCCAAGCCCGGACAGGTCGGTCTCCGCTCTGGGAAGCCCCCAAAAAGGGAATTGATTTGAATTTGCGACTGTGGACTCCCTGACCATTGACCAAACACTCATTTACCAGATGAGGATTCTGAATCTCTCAGTATTTCTAGTTTTTGAAAGAGGAAACTTCAAAGATTTTAGACACCGTTCATTATCTGAAACCGATGGTCAAATAGGACATTTAAAGTTCGTTTTTGCGATTGTAAACCTTGAAATAAGCTTTTGTTTTCCCTTTTTAGTTTTGAATTACGGGACAGTTATTTCTTGTTCCTAGACGATTTATTTTCAGCGAAATAAATGACAAGTTTTGGAGCAAAAATAAGTTTTTTTATTCGATCAGTTTCATGTTTCAACGTTAGCTTTAAATAGAACTGTGAAATAAAAGAAATAATATGAAATTTCGACGTTTTTTCTGCAGCACGTGCCACTTCTGGTGCAAGTTTGCGTGGCGGTCGTCGAAACGCATGGAATGGATACGGTAGGAATCTACCGTATCCCCGGTAACACTGCCGCCGTCAACGCCCTGAAGGAGTCCCTTTCGGGTCCCGGCTTCGAGTCGATCAATCCGGAACATGTAATTCATTCTATTGATTTCGAAAAATCAATAATTGATTTTAAGGTTGAAACTTTGGACACGAGGTGGCGAGATGTGAACGTCGTTTCCTCGTTGCTGAAGATGTTCTTGAGAAAAGTTGGTTTTTTTTTGAGTTTTTATCAAATTTTGTATGAAGTTTAAGCTTTTTGGGTTCTCAAAAAGTTTTCAAAAATTTACTTTTCGAATTTATAATTTTTGATTATTTATTTCAAGTCTGAGATACTCAAAAATGGCAGAGAGGCCTCTATAGGGCTCACGGGAAAAGACAGCCCCATAGGGGCAAAAAGCGCTTGCTTTAGGGGTGAACTTAAGGTGGTCCCTAGAGGGGCTGATTCCTAAGCAATTTAAGATTAAGTGGTCCCTATAGTGGCTCTTAAATTTTCTCACTAGATTTAAAAGTAAAAAAAGCGTTTTTGAAACGACGAACAGAATTCCCGAAAATGCTCCCCGAGAGTGGCCTCTCACCCACTTTTGAAAGCTTAAGTGCCCTCTCTAGGGGAGGTGAAGTACTCCCTAGAGGGAAATCTTCAAGGTCTCCTAAGGTTGTCCTTATAGGGACCACTCTGGCGTACTTAATTCAATATGTTTTTTAATTCATAACGAGTTCGAGAATCACTCAGTTTCCTGTTTCAAAATCATCATATTTGCGGAACGAACAGTGTTTTTCCCAATGGTTACCAAACTGCAGGTTTCAAATTCAAAATAATTGAATGTTTTCCAGTTGCCGGAACCCCTTCTCACCGACAAACTCTACCCGTTTTTCATCGACGCCAACCGGATAGCCAGCCATCCGCAGCGACTCCATAAACTACGTAATTTGGTACGTTTTCTTTCTAATTGAGTGATTAAAAAAATGCTCAAAAGTCATTTCGAAACGAAAAGGTGGTTTTTCAAGAAAAATTTCATTTTTGAAGGAACTTGTGGGTTTCTCTGTATATTTCTGGCTAAAAAGGTCTTTTTTTGCGAAAATCATTGTTTTTAAATGTTTTTTAATGATCAAAACAGATATTTTTGAAACCGATAAGTGATTTTCTAGGAGAAATCTGTGATTTTTCTGTGGAAACTTTTTGGGTTTTTTTCAGTAACTTTTTCGATTTAAAAAAAGGTCTTTCTTTGTCAAAAATTACTTTGTTTGATCTTTTTTATGAGATTCAAATTTTTCAAATAAATTCGTTGAGATTTTAGAACAGTTTTTGAATTTCACTAACAATTTTCAGCTTCGTAAGTTGCCCCGACATCACTACGAAACGCTGAGATTCCTCATCCGCCATCTTTCCCAAATCACGAAGCATAGTGATGTTAACAAGGTAACATTTAATTTTCTTATATTTGAGATATAGGTTTTTTTGTTGCACATTGAGTTAAGTTATTTAATGTGTTTAGAAATTGGATTTCTAGAAGCTTCCAGATGATACTCAATCATTTCCTTTGCTCATTCAATTAAGTTTTTATTTTTTTGTTTCGAAAAGTTTCAGATTCTCGTGATTTTTTTATCTTATGTATCGAGTTGTCTGGAAAAATGTTACTTTGAAAAAAAAATTTTTTTGAACTTTTTCTTCAAAATTTGAAGCTTCCTACTGTTTCAGCACCTGTTAGGTATTACCAGTCATGTTTTATTTTTTTCTCAATTTTTCGTTTTTTTAGTAAAAAGTTTTATCAAGTTGAAAATAATTTTTTTTTGCGTTTTGAAAGTTTTGCTTGAAAAAAAAGGTCCGAAATGATTTTTTTTAATTACAAAGGTGAAATGATCTTGATGATTTTCATCAATTCGAGACTTTTTTTAAGTCTTGAAGCTCAAATTCAGCTTCTTCGACATAAAAACCAATCGAAAATCTCATTTCTCAGATGGAATCCCGGAACCTGGCGTTGATGTTCGGTCCGTCGATCGTCCGGCCTTCTGACGACAACATGGCGACGATGGTGACGCACATGAGCGACCAGTGCAAAATCATCGAAACCCTCATTCACTATGTTCGTTTTTCAGTGGTTCTGATGACATGTTCACAATAGAAAGATAAGTATATTATGGGGATTACTAGAAGCTTAGAAACGTAGAGGGCGCGTTTTGTTCATTTTGTAGTGAGTTTGTTCGCTGGACTCGCTACTTTTTGGTCTTCCTCTCAGGAGGACTGACGCTACTGAAGGGACCACTAGAAGTCGTCAGAAACGTCTGGGACGCATTTTGTGCATTTGAAGCAAAATTGCTGTACGGACTTGTCATTCTCTTTAAAATGCTGACACTACTAGAGTGATCACTTGGAACGCTCAGAAACTTCCGGTTGAGGTCCGAGAACGTTAAATTTTATGCTAAGAGTTAAATAATTCCATAGGAGGATGGTTTTAAGGAAGAAATCCAGTGAAAAGAAGATGAAATTGATTGATTTCAGCACGATTGGATGTTCAACGAGGTTTCGACGACGGAAGACGCCGTCCCTGAACAACATCCTTCAGAAAGTAAGAGATTTTAGACTTCCACATAGAGTTATAGTTAGTGAGAGTAATGAAATTACCATGATGATATGGTAGTTTTTTTCATCAATAAAAATCTGCAAGGTTGCATAAATAAAGAACCCTTTTTTTGGATGAAATTTTATTTTTTTGATGTGAAGAAAAAAATCCAAATTTTGAATTTCATTCACGTTTAGTAAGCTATGCTGATTTGTAAATTATTTGCAAAAAGTCTTTAATAAAGAAGTTTTTTTCACAACTTTTTAGAACTTAATTTTTCCATTTCTTGAGGGTAGTTTGTACTCCATCGAAAAAAATTGATTAAAAAGAATCTTCCAGTTTTTTTCTTTTTGTCTCAAAAACTTCTCAAAAATTTTATATCTTGTTTGCAGCAGGAACAAACGCCTCAGAACCCTAAATTTTTGTAATATTATGATTTAAATAGAACTGATTTTTAGTGTAAAAATTAGGACTTCCCGTATTTTTCCCATTCAAAACTCATATATTCTGTTTGCAGCGGGAACAAACGCCTCAGAGCCAGGTTCGTATGGCGTCGGCGTGCCGACGGGCGTCTCGGCGGCGTCGTTCAACGACATGCACAACCTGATCCGGAAGGCCAACGAAGACCAGGCGGCGGCGATGATGAACGAGGGCAAGGGCGGCAAGATCAAGAACATCCTGCGGCGGAACTCGCGACGCGACAAATCCCGGTCCAAGCTCAAGATCGAGTCGACGGCGCCCGGCGCGATGTCGCAGCCGCGACCCGCGTTCTCGCAGCCGACCCCGTCGAGTGTCTCCGGCAACTCGGTCGAGAGCGCTTTCTGCGGAAATTACCAGGTTTCTAATCTTTATATCACTTCTTGAACCTGAGAATCATCAAAGGTCTTGAAATTTGAACGTAGGGTTGTTGAAGAAAACATAAATTTTCAATCGATATTTGAAAAATCCTGAATAAATTCAAAGTAGTGAGAAAATATTTAGTGGTCACTATAGAGGCTCGCCAAGGACTACTTACACTAGGAAACTTAAGTGGCCACTATTTTCCGTTTTAGTGGCCACTATAGAAGTTCTTTATTCAGTGGCCACTTCAGTATTTTTTCATCCAGTATTCCTTCCAGTAACTCTGATAATTATAAAACAAACAGATTGGACCAGTTATATTGATCCATTGACCCCTAAAGTGGCCACTAAAATTTTTAGTGGTCTAGTAGTAGCACTTAGACCTCTCCAGTGGCCTTTAAAATCCCTAGAAAAGTTCCTAGGTGTACTGAATTAAGATTTTGGAAGTTAAAACAAGAATTAGCAAGCTTCAGCTAGTTCTTTGGGAAAATTTGTTTTGGCTAATATAGAGGCTCGCCAAAGACAACTTGGAGAGGACACTAAAGTGGCCACTAAACCCACCTCTATAGTGGCCACTATTTTGCGTTTTAGTGACCACTATAGAAGTTCTTTATTCAGTGGCCACTTCAGTATTTTTTCATCCAGTATTCCTTCCAGTAACTCTGATAATTATAAAACAAACAGATTGGACCAGTTATATCGATCCATTGACCCCTAAAAGGGCCACTAAAATTTTTAGTGGTCTAGTAGTAGCACTTAGACCTCTCCAGTGGCCACTGATTTTTAATCCCTTAAGTGGCCACTAAAAATTTTCCCAGTAAGAGGGTTCAGCTCTTTTTTCTTTTTAAAGCTGGAATCTTCTAAACTATAGTAAAATATTATGCCCAAAGTTAACTTCTGGCTTTTTCTTTCATCATTATTATTATTATTAAGCTTTTTCTCCAATTTAGAAGTTTTTAGAGTTGAAAATGATAAAATCCATTATCTTCACGACGTACCAAAATTCGTAATTGAACGGAACTTTAACTTTCATTTTGGAAACGTATTTCAAAATTGGATTTTTTTGAAACATTTATTAGATGAAAATTATCTCATTCCAACGTTTCAACCTGGCTTTTTATTCGATCTTTAGCAATATTTAAATGTTCCGTATTCTGCATGAATAGCGAACACGGTCATTGTGAGGATTCGGAAGAAAGCGGAAAAAAGGATTTCACTGTTTCAATTTTCACCACTTTTTTTCCTTTTTTTTCGAATTTTTTTTCTTTTTTTGATTCAAAGCCTTTGAAAACAAGTTTGAGACCCTTTTTCTAATTTATTTGTTTATTCATCTATTTCACTCGAAAAGAAATAAAGAAGGTACAGAATAGGCTCTATACGTCGGTTGGATCCCACTTCAGCCTTTTGAGAGCGAAAAAGCAAAATTCGAAAATGCGCTGAAATTGCCCGTACTTTGCAGTTGGTCCACCCACCGGTTGGATTCGGACAATATACTGTGGAAAACTTTAGTGGCTACTTAAGAGGTTCCTCGAGGCTTCTTGGAGAGGGCACTAAAGTGACCACTCAAACCAAATTTATGTAGAAACTACTATTCTTCTCTTAGGGACCACTATAGGAGTCTTCTGTTTAGTGGCCACTAATAAGACTTCTAAAGTGGCTACTAAATGTCTCAACCCTAAAGTGGCCAATAAATAATGTCCCAGTGTAATAAGAATATGAAATTGATAAACTTTCCTTAATACATATATACTTGTAGGAACGGGACATCGACGCAGAGATCGAGCTCCGACAAACCTTGTCCTCGCCGCCTGGAGCCAGCGGATCTGCGGACGTCGAACTGTCGACCGGCCTCGACCACAGCCCTTCCCTGGAAAGCAGCCTTGGCAGTCTGCCAGACACGGGCGGCCGCGCCGAGGTCGACGACGAGGCCCGCAAGAAACGTCTCCAGGACATGTACTCGGCGAGAAGGATCTTCATCGCCGGCTCGGCGGCCGCCGCCACGGACAACAACGACACGACGGCGATCGACGCGTTGGCCAACCACTCGCAGCATCTGAACATCGCCAGCAGCCCTGCCTTCGACGTCCTCAGCGAGGAGACCCGTGAAAAGATCCGGCTGATGCAGAAGAAGCAGCACTGGCATCACGACACCACCAAGGAGACCCGCACGTTGGACTTGCTCAAGGTCTTTTTTTTTGGGCTTGTCACGAGAAAAGTAGATTCACGGCTAGCTTGGGAGGGGCGTGGCCTGTCTGCGCTCTCCACTGACCAGGCACTGTCTCTTTTCTTTCCGTGTCAGAAATTGTGGTTTCGAAATCTTTCCCTAGGTTGTTTCAGTTTAGAAAAGTTCAAGCTTAAAAAGTCAGTATATAAATCATATTATAGAGGATTTTCAATTTGTTTCTACTTATTTTTTGAAGATTATCTCGATTTTTCAGACCTACTCGCCGACGAAAGACATCACAGACGCGCTTTCTTTCACTTCGGACTACTCCACGACCAGCTCGGCACCCCTTAGGTAGTCCCTTTTCAACACCTTGAATCAGCTTCATTGCCGCCTTTTTAGTTCTGCTAACCCGCCTCTGGCCGTTGCATGCTTAGATCAGCCGAATTCCAGTTCGGACTATGCTTCGAGGTTCGCTACTCTGCTAAAGAAAAACCTCTAAATAAGGGTTTTTAGTGACCCCAGTCCTTGCGCTCGGAATGCGTCGTCCTCGCCGGCTCTTCGGAATCGACCTGGGGCCCTGGACGTCATCACCCCTGAAGTGAACTCTTCGACGATGCCCTTCAGCAAAAGCCAGAAGATTCGTCTTCGCGTCAAGGCTGGAAATCGCGATCCTGCACGACGGCATACGTTGTCTGATGTCGACACTTTGAAGGTACAACTCCAACTTTTCAATTAAGTCAATAAGTAACCCAGAAATTTGAGCCATATTCAAAAAAGATTCAAAAAAAAACCCCGAGAGTAGCCTTTTTTGCAATTTTTGGTGCCCTCTACAGAGGAGGTGAAGTGGTCCCTAGAGGGTGCCTTAAGGTCCCCCCTTTAGTGTCCTTGAGTACTTCGTCCAGACTATCCTACCATGAACCTAATTTTTCTTAATGGAGCCTAACCGTTGTAAATTCAGGAAGGCCGATTAGACAAGCTGGCGAGGTGGTTTGGACTCCGGAAGTCAAGCCCCGACGTGAACGCCGAAGAGCAAGACGCGGCGCGGAAACGTCGCAGCGTCACCGTCGACATGACGACGAACCCGCCGGTCATCGTCCGGACTTCGCCGACCGAGCTGACGCCCGTCAGCGGCGACGAGCAACTGTGATTCTTCTCCCCAAAAAATCCTCATTCGCTTAAACGTGTCTTCCCTTCGTCAATATCTCCTGTCACACAGAGAGGCTCTTGTTGCCCTCTGATATCATTCTTCTATTATCTTTCTTTTTTCCTCCGTCAAACTGTAAATGTTTCTCATCCAACGGGCGACGTCACTAGCCACTTTCACTCCGTTTCCTCCTCATCCCCTTCAAAAGTTTATTCTATTCTGCATCTTGTACTAGAATTTTAATAATTTTTATTGGGTATTTTGTATAACTTGATGTATTCTCTAATCTTCGTTATTCAGAAATCCTTCAACGACCGCATTATACAGTTATACACATATTGTTTTCTTCAAAGAAATTCGAGAGGAGTCTTTAAGTGATCTCGCTGGAAAACTGTGTCCTATCCTTACAATATCATACGACTTTTTGCCTACATTTCGGTCACATTTCTTCTTTTCCCTTCTCAATTCCATAGGTTTTTCTTCTTCTTGCTGAGTTTTACTAGCTGGTTCTATTCGTAGCTTTCCTCTTTCTTCCACAACCCTCAACGTCGTTTCCTATGGGTTTCCTCTCCTTGTAGGTATGACAATTTATCATTTTTTCCTCATTTCATCATTTTTTTTCCATTTTTGCCACCATTCCACATTTTCAGTGGTTTTCCGTGGTAGAAAAAGAGAGTAAAGATAACGATTATATTTTTGTTTTTCGTGTTCGTCGAAAGCAATTGTGATACTGTGAAAATTGGCTTAAAAGCCTCAAGTTGTGGAATTTCGATTTTATTTCACTCCGCATTACTTTTCAAAATGGAAGCTAAATTTCTTTGAATTTATCTAAAGAATCGCCACGTGCTTTCAGAGTAAAGTTTCTGAAAATTTTAATGTCGTGAATAGAAAGATTCTCCAGAGAAATTGGCTCATTTCAAATAGCAGCCTGGCTGTCAGCAACAATGTCATCTACAAAGGGGTTTCAGAATATTTTTTTGGAAATCTCATGGTCGAGAAATAAAAAATTTTTTAGAAGCAATAAAGGACCAAAAAAGACGAAGCGACAAAGGATCAAGTCGAAAAAGAAGGCAGAAACTTTAGATGAAGATGAAATGCCAGCCAAGGTGATTTATTGAGACAAGGAACCGACAAAAATTAAAAAAAGGAATATTGAGAATTTCGTTGCATTATTTCTAGTAATATTTACTCAAAGCAGATTAAACAAATATATTTTGAAGTTAGAAATCTCGAACATTTTAAAAAACATGTTCGCCTACTCATCGCGAAAACTCCAATAACAAAGAGTAGTTTGAAAAAAAAAGGAATATAAATTCAAAAAAATTCACAAAAAAATTGTTTTTTTCTCGTACAGAGCAAATCACACCGTAACGTTAGATTGTCATTGGAGCGCAAAAATAACAAATTTTTTTATTACCACGGAAAAAAAGTTTTTTTAAATTTAAATTTAAATTTATTTTGTCTTTGATAACTTGTAATTTAGATCGTGTTAGATGTAGAATTTGTTGACAACAGAAATAAGGAGATTATTTTATTTTGTAGATTTCTGTTTTCGATTCACTCATTTTAAGGACCCAATCTTGGATCCGGCGTTCGTTTCGGTTCGAAAAACTGCAGAATGGTTTTGCAAAATTCGTGAGTTGAGCCAATAAAAGCCTAGGAGAAACATTTTCATAGAGAGTACGGTTGGCCTTGGGGAATTCTACACGAAGAATCTGAAAAGCTTCAATCCGACACCGTTTCTGTTTCCCAGTTTCACTGCAAACAAAAATAAAAATCGCAATCAGGTTTTTTTTTTAAAATCAATTGGAACAGTTTCAACTCGAAGTTGCAATTTTGAATTTCGGCTTCATTCATTTTTTTCCAGAACATAGTTTGTCTAGAAGAGTCACGGGTAAAGCTCCAGCATGAGGATAAAACCAAGTCGGATTATATTCACGCCAACTACGTCAAGTTTGAGGGCCTCGACCGTCCTTATATCATGACTCAGGTTTTTTCTTGATATTTTTTTAAAAGTAAAAAAATCAATAGCATCCGTTGGAAAATACGATCGAAGATTTTTGGCGCATGGTTTTTTATGAGGAAGTTTTGAACATCATTGCCATCATCAACCCGGTAATTTTTCCATATTTTTCTTTTTTATAGTCAATCCATTCCGATTATCGAGAAAAATAGACTGTAACAATGAAATTTTTCCAAGACCGACCCGAAAACGCCCCCTTATTGGCCAATGGAAGCTGGAAAGTACACGAACCACGGCGCTTTTTTCGTCCATTGTAAAAGTGTGAGGAAAAAATCATTCTTATTTTATTGATTGAAATCAAATTGAAGGTTGTCGAAGGCAAAGGTCAGTACACGGCGAATGCCTACACGATCGAGGTATTTTTTTTTGTTAGGATCTAAAAAAAATGAACTCTGAAAAAGATGCTGAGTATTCTAGCGCATGCCTTATATGAAATTCCTGTTTTTTTTTAAATAAAAATCAAAAAGTTCTGAAAAAGAGGAAAAGTTAATGTTTAGTTTTTAAGTGTGCGAAAATTATCATGCTTTTGGCGCCAAGCTTTTTGAAAATTTTTGACTAATCTTTTAAATTTTTTTTTCAGATTTCACCTAGGAAATTAGTGTTCATATGATAAGGGTTTTTTTTAAAGGTTGATTCGAAAAATTTTCAAGGTCCCAATTCAATTGTAGAGCTCTGGATTGTCGAAAGAGTGCGAGATTACGATCGGAAAAATCGAATTCGTGATAGTTTTTTCTCTTATTCTGAAAAAATTAGACTTCAGAATAAGTTCAAAAATTTAGAATCGATTTTTTCATTCTCTGCATTTCCTAGGGGTTATATGAGATTTTTTTCAAGGTCGCTTCATTTGAAAATGTTTCTGAAATAGTGAAGTAAAATTGTTGAAAACAAAAAAATTAATGAATGAGATTTAAAAAGGTTTTTTTCCAAGCTTGAAAAGGAGAATTGAAAATTCTATGAAAAAAATATAAGTTTGAAAGAACGAAGTGGCCTCTATAGGGTTTTTTTGACTTTTTTTAGTGGATTCTATGGTAGTCAAATAAGTGGCCACTATCCAGAGAACTACTGTAGTGGCCACTACTGGGAAAATTTTTAGTGGCCAAGGACTACTTGGAGAGGACACTAAAGTGGCCACTAAACCCACCTCTATAGTGGCCACTATTTTCTGTTTTATTGGCCACTTCAGTAGTCTTTCGTACAGTATTCCTTTCATTCAGTATTACTCCCTAATTTTTAACCCTTTCAGTGGCCACTAAATTGACTACTATAGTGACCACTTAAACGTCAAAACCTTATAGTGGCCACTCAAAATTTTACCAGCTATAAGAAAAAATAGAGGCTTCTACAGAGGTGCTTTTAGCGGCCACTTTAGTGTCCTCTCCAAGTAGTTTTTGAACAACCTCTTGAGTGGTCACTATAGTTGTTTTCCCATATGCGCATCTAGATCCATTTTGAAGGTACTTCCCGAAGGTTGCTCGAACAGTCACATCGTCACGCTGCTCAACTATCCAAATTGGGCCAAGTCCTCCGTTCCCGGTCATCCGCTGGTCGTGCTCAAAATGATCAGGATGACCAAAGTGAATTTCGATTCCATTGAAATATTTGTCGCATTCGAAAATAGTTCCAAGTTTAGATTTCGGTTTCTTGGGAGATATTTCTGTAAATATTAACAATGCGAAATCTAATTTATCAAATGCTTTACAAAAAAATTGTATTAGATCAATTCCAAAAAAATTTTCGGAAAAATTGAAGGCGCCCCCACAGTTTATATTTCTGTTTTTTAGAAGATGGAAAGTTTCTAAATGACTTTTTTTATGATATTTTTTTCTCTTTATTATGCATTTTACTTACACGATACATCACGAAAAAAACTGTATTTTTGAATGAGATTAAAACCTTATTTATTTCTTAGTTGGGTCTTACAACGAAATGGCGGCTTTTACAATTCGAAATATTTTTGGTCGAAAAATCGGTCTAAATTTTTTTGAATTTGCCAGTAAAAGTCGCTATCTCGTTGTGGGACCTATTTTTTTCTCACGGCTTAATCATTTTAAACAAATAAAATGTCAATTCTGAAATCATTTTTGAACGCGTCATGTAGTAGTTCATCAATGCAGATGTATTAAATTTCCATTTATAAATAATAATAATAATATTTATTTTATTCACGAGGAAAAAAATATTCACTGAAAAAAATCGAAGAGAAAGAGATAGCATTAGAAAAAAATGAAATTGATTTTAAACCCGATTTTTCTAACACTCCAACGAGTACAGTTACCAGGTCCAATCCTTTATAAGACTCATACACGAAAAATTTTCCTTCCAATAATCCATAATCCGATGAAAAGAACGAAACGAAACCGCAAGCTCCGATAGTCGTCCACTGTGAACACGGGATCAACCGCGCCGGAATCGTCGTCTTGGCCAACGCGATAACGACCCTCGCCTTCTCGATGACCGAACCTGATGTCAGTTCAAAATTTTTAAAAAAACGGACTAAATTCGAAAAAAAGTCCTGTTTCAAAAATATTGAAAAGTTTATGAAAAAAATTCAATTTTTCGATAAAATTTTTTCAACAGTTTAAAGAAAATTCTGCGGAAACCGGAAAAAGTAAATTTTTCTATTCAAGTTTTTTGTGATAAATTTTTTTGTAACTAGTTGAAAAAAATTTTTCAATGCTAGAGGTTTTTCTCAGGACGCTCTGAAGATCTAATTCTGATTTTTCGAAAGCTTTTTTTTTTTGTTAATTTTTGATATTTCGACACGTAAGAGCGCATTGGAGAATTTGCATAGGCATTCGGAAAGGGTGGAAAAAAGCTTCATAGAAATATTCCTTTTTCTGCTGCCTTTTTGCGCCATTCTCTTGGCCCTTGTGCACCATTTTTGCTGCCTCTCCCTTTCTCCACAATTTCTTGAGCCCTTAAAATCCCAGAAAAATGGAAAGCTCGTTAAAGAGACTCTTTTTGCTGCCTCTTTGCTGCTTTCTGGCTGCCTTTTTGCTACCTTTGTGCGGCCTTTTTTGAGTCTCTCCCTTTTAGCGGCAATTATCCACCATTCCGACCTTGCCTGAGACGTTTTTTGCTTCTTTTTTTGTTGTTTTCGAAAAAACCTGAAAACATAGAGATTTTTCCAGATGCCAGGCCTGTTCAAAAAGATCCGTAGTCAAAGAGCAACAATAGTATCGCATAAATATGCCTACATCTATGCGTGCTATGTGTTTCTCTACTATATCCGAGTGAGTTTTGAGGAGTTTTCGAAGCATTTGATGGGAAAAATCGTTAATAAAAAAAATTAAGGCATACATTTAAAAATTGGCTTTTTTACTTCATGAATTTATCTCCAAAAGCTTTTTAAGGTTACCTTTTTCGAGACAAAGTCCTATGAAATCTAGGTAAGTAAAAAATCGGATTTCAGTATACCCGATTTTCATGTTTCACCCTTTGAACTAGTTCCACTTTAGTAGTCACTTGAGCACCACAAAGTTTGGTTTTTCCGCAGAGCTTGAACACAAATCAAAAAACGGCAACAGTAAGCTCCACAAGTGCGCTCCACGGAGAAATCTTAGAAACAAACATTTTGGACATTCATAACGCGAAACGGACGCGCTTTGGACGTTTCTGGCCAATTTTAGGGATCACTTAAGAGGGCTGAAGCTACTAAAGTGGTCGCTAGAAATGCCCCGACACTTCCCATTCGCGTTAAAAATTTCCGAGTAGTTTTCAACGCGAAAATTATTTTTTACTTCTCTGATTTTTCCCAATTTTTCAGAAGCGCTGTAAAATTCATAAGAAGAATCTAGATTTGGTTAACGACATCGACAACTTTGAAAGTTCGGTGAAAAAGGTCGTCTTCAAAAGTTTACCTGGAAAGATTGATCTCCGACTTTAAGGAGTTGGAATTGGTGAAGTCTGCGGAGAATAAAGAAAAGGAAGGCGCCGTCACCGTCGATTGATCCCAATCACTGATTTTCCGTATTTTCTAACCATTCTTTTTTGTGCAACGTCTTTCGGTCGAAAATAAAACGTCTGCGAAGGATTTTTGACGTGTTGAAATAGAATGAATGCTCATATTGTCCTTTTTTGGCGACTTGAAAGTTTTCGAGTGTCTGCTTCTCTTTCCCTCACCGGCTAGGTCAGAGAACCGTGAAAATAACGTGTAAACATGAGAGAAACGTCAAGAGATAAGGAGGGCGCAGAGTAACCCTCTCAAGCCGGCTGGATATATAGTCAATGTTTCCCGACTTGAAAGGTGATATGGGCTGGTTGGCAAGGGCGAGGTGTTGCGTGTGCGACGCGGCTTTTTGGCGGCATGCCGAAAATCAAATGTGTGAGACAATTTGGAAAGTTCGGCCGCCGCTTTTTTATTTCCTTTTTTCTTTTTCTTTTCTAATGGAGTTTTTCGATTTTTTTGTTTCCCCAATGTAATATTGTAAGCGCAAACCTTTTCAGTGTGTTTCGCATAGAAAGTTTCTGAAACGTGAATCATTTTCGGAAAACTTGTAGCTGTTTTTTTGTTTCTTTCGTAAAAAAATATGAAATACGTATATAAATACATAAAAAAATATGAAATTTTTTTCCTTGTGCATTCTGTCCCGTGAAAATTATACTGTATTCATCCATTGATGCAACTTTACAGACCAAGCGAAGTACAAATGAACAGTTTCGAAAGCTCAGAAGTCCAGTGTTTCACGTCGACAAGAGGCTATTTTCAATAAATACAGGCCATGGTTTTTTCTCAAATTCATTCATCCTTTTTTCTTTCATGCAGTGAAAATCTTCAGAAACAACGGTTTGCGAAGTGCTGCGAATTTTTTTCAAATCAACAACAAGGAGTTTATTGCGAATGAATGAGCCGGATCATTAGAAAAGGTTTTTTTATAGAGTCGGTTCACCTACTGAATTTAGGGTTCTCAGGGTTTATGCAGTGATTTTTTCGGAGTGGAAAGAGAAAGTAACGAGTCACGGACGATTAGCAAGGTTTGTAAGTTTTCGTCTTTGCTCCTTGTTATTTTTTTTTGCTTTAACTATTCTCCCAGTGTATAACTAAGTATTCTTTTAGTATACTTACCAGGGAACGTTTTTTACCCCCCGGGTTGAACTTTTGCTGAAACTTTGCTCAAGTGTACTTTAGGACCCCCTGATTACAGAACAAAAAGGAAATTTCTCGCAATAGATAGATCTTGTTTCCGAGTTATGGAGCCTCAAAGTGTGCAAAATACGCAAAATAGGCCAAAAAAGCGCTATTTCGGGTATTTGAAGCGTCCTAACCCGAAAACGAGATCTATTGCGAGAAATTTTCTTTTTGTTCTGTAATCAGGGGTCCTAAAGTACACTTGAGCAAAGTTTCAGCAAAAGTTCAACCGGGGGGTAAAAAACGTTCCCTAGTTAGATTTTCCTGAAAAGTTCGTAAATATATTGTGTTCGCCACGAAAATTTCACACCAACGAACATGACATTTTTCAAGATTCATAACCAAGCACTAATCTTTTTTTTTTTCTTCATGTTTAAAGAACTCTTTTCCAGGAAACATCATGGTCTCTCTTTTGTACTGCCTACATCAGCAACCTACTCATTTATAATCTAATTTTTAAACAAAATTTGAAATTCCCCAAAAAACGACAAAAAAAGCTGAAATCTGCGATTACCTAAAAGCAAAGGGAATCACAGTGCCAACGAAGTCGAAGAAAGAAGCACTCCTCAAGCTTCTCGACGATTTCCTGGCGAAAAATGGCGGCAGGAACGCAGTGAAAAAATATGAGGTGGACGAACGGTGTCGATCGCAGGGCGTGAAGATCCTCCGTCTGACACCATATCACTGCGTTCTCAACCCAATAGAGCTTTGTTGGAGCCAGTTGAAGAGGCATCTCCGCAACGAAGGGACAACTAATGACAAAGTCGAAACAGTAAGATCTTTTTTTTTACAAAAATGAACCAACTTGTAAATTTTCTGGTGCGCCTGAGAGCTTTACAATGGTTCAAAAGTTTGAAACCGGAAATGGCAGCGGCTTTTTTGCGTCGAGGACGAAGCCCTCGAGGAACTTTTCGGTCTCTCACGCAAGCCACCCGCAGTCCAAGTGAAGCCCGTGGTCGTCAGTTTTTCCCTTCTTCTGACGAGGCCTTTTCCGAAGAATGGATTTTCTCGTCGGACGAGGCCAGCGATGAGCTTTGAGTTGATGTATTTATTGAACTTAAAAAAAAGATTTATTTTCAAACGTTTCATATTTTTTTCATTTTTCCGCTACATTGTTTATCAAATTTTCTTTTGATTCAATCTCTTTGAGCAATGAACCAATCAATTCGTTTATTAAATTTGAAAAAATGAAGAAAATAAAAATCATAATGCAATGCAATATTTTAACCTTCACAAAAAATCGTCAGCCCATTCCAATAATTGTGTGAGAATCAATTGCCCAGGTTTCCATGACCAGCCTAGCTCCCGGTGGATAACAGCCTCATGACAAAGTTAAAATATCAAAAACTGAATCAAATAAAAACTCACTTTATCTCTAGGTTTTCCCAGGATTGCACGTGAAATTTACACAGAAAGATATAAGTCATTGGAAGGAAGTACGTAATAATAAAGCTACAATTAATGGAGAAATGTCAAAAATATCGAAAATGTAGGCAAAACAATAAGTTCATCGGAAATTTTTTTCTTTAAGTTTTAAAAAAATATCACTAGAACCAATGATGATTCACATGGGCTTTTTACTTTCGATGGATATTTTTCTCTAACTTAGCTTCAGATCCGATCCTTTTTTTGTGAATCTTCCCAGTACAATCCTGGGTTATATTGATGCCACTTCGCAAGTTTCTGAAAAACGAAAATGAGAAATTCCAACAAAAATTAAAAAACTTGTTCGCCATCAACGCAGCGTTTTTCCAAACACCATAGCTTCTCCTTCGTTTTTCTCTCCTCGCGACCTGCAATTAATCATAGTAGAGAAATTATAAAAATGTTAGAGGTTTGAAACTGTGAATTTCAGCAAATACGAAAGAAACAAAAAACAGCGATAAGTTTTCCAAAAATGATTCACGTTTCGCTACATGTTTTAGAATCTTTCTATGCAAAAACACACTGAAAAGGTTTGCGCTTACAATATTATATTGGGGAAACAAAAAAAAATCGAAAAACTTCATTAGAAAAGAACAAGAAGAAGAAAAAAGAAATAAAAAAAGCGGCGGCCGAACTCTCCAACTTGTCTCCCACATTTGAATTTTGGCATGCCGCCGAAAAGCCGCGTCGCACACGCAACACCTCGCCCTTGCCAACCAGCCCACATCACCTTTCAAGTCGGGATACATTGACTATACAGGAAGAAAAAAATAGTTCCGAGAAAAATTGAACCGAAGGTTTCAGAAGAGAAGACGTGGAAAAAAATTTTCTTTAAACAAAAACAAAGTAAAATATTTTTGGCGACTATCGGAGCTTTTTTGCGAATGGAGCTCATATACCTGAATTATATCGAACTCTGAGATTTTTACCAAAGTTCCCAAGTTAAATAAGCATCCAAACTTTTTTGAATGTAGTTTTTAGAACGGTCGTTGGTTCAAACTGTCAAAAATGCAAACTCCGATTTTTTTCTGAAAATAAAAAATTTGAATGAGTTCACAGTTTTGGTTTTCGCATTTAATTTGAAGAGGTCCAGAAGGAACTTGATATGACTGTAGTTGTTTTAAATAAAAAAAAACTGGCCTGTTGGAAAAATCGATCTCAATTCTTTATAGTGGCTATTTGTTTGAAGTTGTGAAACTTTTTTTTGTAAAAACTATTTTTCTTCCTCAAAATTAGTATAGATAATTCGACAATAGAGATTTTTTGTTATTTTGAGTGAATTTAAGCTCTTTCCTGACGAAAATTTACGGCTTCTGGAACTTTTCGACACGTTGTTCGGAACATCGTGAATTTTAAGAATTTTCGGGATGTGACTCGATTTTTCTCAAGCGTTTCTTATGGGGTAGGTCGTTCCAATTTTTGGTTAGGAATTATTTGAAAATTTTCCGGAACCATTCTTTATTTACTAGAAGAAGATTCTGGAAGTCTCAAGCAAAAACTTCCCGGTTTTTGACAAATTAGGGCTCGAAACTCGAAAAAAGTCTGTTTAACCGGATTTTGACGCTTTCTTTGACTTGGAGGTGTCAATTCTCTAAAACCGGAATTCTGTGTAGGTTTAGACTTTCAGAATCTACTTCTGGTATATCGAGGAGCCTTCTGGTCGATTTTGAGCAAATTCCTAACCACAAATTAGAAAGACCCAACTTGTAAATCCCTCGTTTTTCAAAAAAAAAAAGCTTCAATCGTTTATACGTTCCCTGTTGAAATGTCTCGACCCTTTGGCCGATTGATTGATGAAAAGAGCCTCCAACACATGACTCCAAGGGCCAATTGTTTCCCAGTTTTCATCACTCGAGGCCAGTTTTATTTTGGCGTCTATAAACACTTCGAAACCCAATTGTAAACTGTCATTTCCCAACCAAAATGCTCCTTTTCGCCGTTATTTTGGCTCTTCTGCTTCCGCCGGCTACTGGTCATCGGGATATACCCAAGGTTTCAGGAAGTTAAAAAAACTACAATAAATATTATTTTTTTTTGTCGCAACATCTGAAAAAGGAGTGAGGAATTTTATTTGTGGTCATGAAAATATACCTACTTAGGAAAGCCAGAGTGGTCTCTATAGGGGCAACCTTAACGTTTTCTTGAAAATTCTCCTCTAGGGGCCATTTTACCTCCCCCCCCCAAACCACTATAGGGACCACTATGGCGCTCCTAAGGGAGCGGCCCATTTTTAAAGATCTTCAGTTTTATTGATTTTTTAAACTCGAAAAAAAAAAGATTGAAGTTCCGTGGAAACAAGGTCATTTGGTCACTTAAAAGAAGAAGCTTCACTAGAGTGATCCCTTAAACAGGACCGACCAAAAAAACTTGTCTTTCGCAAGTTGTGCAAAAAAATTATTCAAAAAAAGCCAATAAGCTCCCCAAGTGTGCTCCACGGATAAATTTTGAAAAAAAAGCTTTTGGGTCATCTCTAAACTGTTAAAAAAATTTTTTTAGTTTTTTTATTTTTTTCACTTCGAAATTTCATTCCATATGCGCTTATTTTTTTAAATCCCTAAACTTCCGAAATTTCATTACTACCTTTGAGGTTAAATAACTCATTTTATTACTGTAGAATTATCCTCCCTCGGCTCAAAACCATGTTTATCAAAATCTCCTCGATTTATGTACTTCTGTGGCAGAAATTTGAGAATTCATGTAACATGCAAGATTTTATTTTCATTTTATTTATCCAATAAAAGATGAAGAAGATCCTCGGAGTTCAGGACTTGCTGAAAAAGTTCGTGAGAGCCGGATCTTTCCGCGATTTTCTGGCCGACGTCCACGTGATCTACCACCCCGAACACACCAATCGCCATATTTCCAAAAACTTGGCTCCGACGGCTCGTGAGTCATGAAAAAATAAGAAAAAAAATTTTGAAGCATAACTGGGAAATACTTGAGTGGCTTTGAGATATTTAATGTCTGTTGGAACAAAAATTTGGTGTTGCTTTTTTGAGCTCATATTTTTATCACAGAAACTACAAAATTCTCTGAAACTTTTTGTTTGAGCTCTGACAGGCTCCGCCCCTTTCTACGGTCACTGTGACCAATAAATTTATCGAAAAAAATTGCAGTTTAAATAAAAATTCCAAATTGATTACTGAATTGGGACTACGGAGGAAAGTCAGGTTGTTTTCGGGCTACGGTAATCGTAAAAAGGGGCGGAGCTTGTAAAAAAATCCTAACGAAACGGTTTAGAAACTCTTTAATCGTTGTGATTCAAATATGAGCTCAAAAAAAGGCATAATTTTATACAAGTAAGAATCTCGGAAATATGAACTTCATTTTTTTACTTCAATTTACTGTTTCCCCAATAACTTGAAAGAGAAAGCAAAAAGAATTTAGTAGTTCCCAGTATTTTTCACGGCACGTTTCAAGAACATTACTCTGGAAAGTGAATTGATGTAATAATAATAATAGTTTATATTATTCTCAAATTTTTAATTAATTTTTGCAGAATGAAATACAATTTTAAGTCTATATATCGCTTAAAAAGTTGGCTTTTGGTAAAATTTGACTTGCCTTGGATCAAAAAAATGTCCATTTTTTTGACCTTTTTTTGCACGCCGCGGCATGATGCAAAAATTTTGACCAAAATATTGATACCAGAATTTTTTTTTTGTATTCTCATAACCTTTCTAGAAATACATGCTTTCTTCTGCTTCTGCTTCTCTTTTTCTTTTTCTTTTTTTTTTTAAATCAGTTAAATTAAGTTTTGCCGAGCTTTAAAATCTCTGAAGAATTGTTTTTTTTTCTAATAGTAGTGACATTGTCTGTACTATTACATCACTTTACTTTTTTTCTCTGGCCTGTTTTTTTAAAAAAATGGAATCAGAGAAATAGTTTTTTTGTTTTACGTATATGAGTTTACATATTCAGTTAAAACTAAATATCTCATCATAGAAAATTTAAATTACTTTTTTTGAATAAATATTGCTTCATAGCGAATTTATTGCCTCGAAATTCCTTTGCTATCTCTGTGATCACTTCAAAGGATATGATTTTCAGAACCAATCCGTCTGAAACAGGGAAGTTTCGGAGGCGGCAGTTTTCCTCAAGCCGACACAGCCAGCGAACAAATTGATGGTGAGTATGAATTTTACTGAAATCCATGCTATTTGTTAATTAAAAGGCTCTGATAATGACGAAAAATTGTATAGAAAAATCATTTTTTTCTTATTCGATTTTTTTCTACCATTTCTAAGATTTTTCAAAGCCTGGAAAAAGGATCAAAATGAACTAAAAAAACCAAAAGGAATGAAAAAGTAAAAAAATTTTTCCAGTCACTTTTAAATGTCTAAAAAAGACTTTGTCTACACTAAAAGCTGAAAAAAATCCTCTCCAAAAATACAATTTTTCGAAGAAATTATTACTCGCTTCAATTTTTTTATTATCCTCAAATCAGATTATAAAATATTATTACTGGGAGAATTTTTTTAGTGGCCACTATAGGGCTTTGACGTTTTAGTGGCCACTATAGAGGTCTAAGTGCTACTACTAGACCACTAAAAATTTTAGTGGCCACTTCAGAAGTCAATGGACCAACATAACTGGTCCAATCTTTTTTTAAATTATCAGAGTTACTGGAAGGAATACTGGATGAAAAACTACTAAAGTGGCCACTAAATAATGAGCCTCTATAGTGGCCACTAAAACGAAAAACAGTGGCTACTATAGAGGTGGGCTTAGTGACCAATTTAGTGTCCTCTCCAAGTAGTCCTTGGCGAGCCTCTATAGTGGCCACTAAAAATTTTCCCAGTCATCATTTTAACAGCTCAAAATGAAGATTACAAGTCGCTCTATCGATATTTTGATTTTCAGCCCACACCTACGATTATCTGAATGTCCTCCACGACATCCACCAGGGCAACGACACTTGTAAACTGCAGTCGGTTTGCGTCCCGATTCCCGTCATCAACGATGATCCACAAGTTTTGATATATCCCCGATGCTATGAGGTGATAATAATAATATTTATTCACAGGCAGAACGAAATAAAATGTACATGAATGATTTTTAAAAGAAAAGAAAAAAAATTTGACTATAAAGCCTGAAATGAATAAATAAAAAGGCGTACATTGTAGGGGAAAAAGTATTTAAAAAAAATTGTTCTCGGAGTTTTGCTTGAAGCTTTATAGCCCATCCTTTATAGTCCGTTGCGTCTTTACATTTTTCGGGTGTCTGCGTCTCTCCTTCTCTCAGCGGCTAGGGCAGAGAACCGTGAAAATAGCACGTCATCATGAGAGAGTCGCCGAGAGACGAGGAGGGCGCAGAGAAAAACAGCCGTTGCGAGAAACGGAAATATTACTAGAAAATCAGTCATGCGAGAAGAGGAACTATGAACTTATAACAAAGTCAGAGTGGTCCCTAGAGGGGCAGCTTTAGAGGCCCTTGAAAGTTCCCCTCTAGGGACCACCTTACTAGAGTTCACCAAACCGATCGTTCGACCAAACGTTCAACCAATATTTTCATGACATGTTACCAAAAATGTGATTGATTAACATTTCTTGCTACCGAACGATTAACATGTCTCATGATTATGATCTCTCGTTTTTTCGACATGTCAACATTTCATTTAAATGAGAGATCATTTCGAATCGATCGTTCAGTTTTCGATTGATCGAAATGTTGTATTGAAAATATTGGTCGAAAAAATGATTGATCGAAATGTTGTATTGAAAATATTGGTCGAAAAAATGATTGATCGAAATGTTGTTTTGAAAAATATTGGTCGAAAAAAATGATTGATCGAAATGTTGTTTTTGAAAATATTGGTCGAAAAAAATGATTGATCGAAAATTTTGTATTTGAAAACTTTGTCAAAAATGATTGATCGAAATGAATTTTTTTGTTAAAAAAAGTATGTTTAAAAACTACTGTTTAAAAAAACCGCTTCTCTTTCAAATGTTCATCATAATTTCTTTTTTGATTTTTCGTAACGAAATATCATCATCGTTTTTCTGTTTCTCCGTGTTCACTGGTACTAAAAGCAAAAATTTCTACAATGCTATATAGACTATAACAAATAAGTGGCCGATTCTTTTCCGAACCATGATTTTCCGAACCAAAATCCGAACCAAAGCTTAGGCGAACCAATGATTAGACGAACCACCTCATGCTTACCGGAACCAAAAAGTTTTTTTATGCTTCGCCGAACCAAATGTCGGTATTTTTATGTAGATGTTCATGGTAATCGGTTTGCGTTTCTCGCATCCTAAGAGACCGAGAATATGAAGTCTAGCGCTCCATCCTTTTCCGAATCGTTATATAACTTTCCGACCTAACCTTTTTATGCTTTTCGAGCCGTACTTCGATTCATTTTTCAGAAAGCACCTTTCTTGAGATCTGCTCATTTTTGATCGGTTTTATGTAACTTTTTTCGCCCATAACCGGCTTTCAGCTTTACCCTTGACTATTTAGATACCTCTGTTCAGATCAGATTCTTTCAAAAATTTGTTTGATTCCAACCCAAGTTTGAAATTGGAAGTATCTGGTCTATGACTTCTTTTAGGGTCGTCTGAGAGTAGAAATGAAGTCGTCACAGATACTGCCAAGTGTCCTAATCTTGGCTTTAGTGTTTATATTTTTTTACCTATTTTTTTTCAGTCAGCCATTTATTTCGTTGTTTAGTCACATATATTATCGACTGAGCTGGATGCAAGAGCTTCTCAAACTTCATCGAACTGGAAGTCCAAATTTGTAGTCGAAGAATAGGATAGAATTGTCTGACTGGTTCCTCGTTTCACGCGCGAAGCTCGTGCTTTAGGTGAAATCTTTAAAATGAAAGATATCACTTCTAGTGAAGAGTTTTAAAAGAAGAGCTGATCTTTAGGCCTTCTCAAACCTTTTCTAAGAACAGAACTTACAGTTCATTTTTTAAAAGTTTAATCTCAGTTTTTTTTTTCTCTAGTTAGAACTTTTGAAATTATTGCCAAGTTTTTTTTTGTTTTCTGTAAATTGTCAGATGGCGATTCGACTGTCCATTTCTGAGCGTTTTTCGAGATCGACGGTGACAGTCATTTGAGAATAGCTTCGCGAGATTTTCCTAATAAAAAAGCTTGACTAAAACTAGTTTTCAGTCGTTGCGTACATAGAACTATTCAGAATGCAAAAAAATCGGCTAACGGCTTTGAATTTTGAATTTTTTTTTTCAATTTTCCACTTCGAAATTCATTCAGAGTTCAGGGTGTTTCGCGAAACAAGATTTGCAGACGGTCACGCGGAAGAAGAGTCTCAAGCAGAATTCAGGCATTTGAGCACCCATCAAGCTGTTCTACCGAACTTCACTGGTTTCTTCCGAAGCAGGCGAAAAAAAAATTAAAGCCCAATTTCATTGACTTTATCAATTGAGATTCTCCGAAAAAGGCTGTATTAAGGGGTCTCGAAAGGTCTCAGAAACTCTGGAAGCTCTCTGAAAATCCCTTGATAGCCTTTTTGAAATCATGAGGATAAAAGAAAGAAAGTTTTCAAATTAAAAATTTAAATTTACAGTCGTTATGACACGGTAATATTTTTGCCAAAATAATATGCAATATTCATGAATCTTGATAGAGAAATCAAATAAAACATTTAATTGACGAAAATCGATATTAAATTTTTGGGCCTAAAATGTTTCTTGAAACGATGTGAAACCTGCGTATAAATGTGATAAAAAAAACAATGAGCATAACAAAATACTAATATCAAGAAATAATTGATGAAACTATAAAGAAAACACAAGAATTGAAAAAGAAACATTGAAGAAAAAACACAACTAAAAAACGTAATTTAAGCAGGCGCCAAGAGTTTTGGCGCGCTGTCTCATCGCTTTGGGACCCTATGTTCCCGTACACTTGGATAATTGCCAGTTTTCGAAAATTTTGTCTTTCCATCGCTAGAAATTAGCGCCGCTAAATCCAGACGTGGGGGCTTGCCTCACGCGCGCGCCAATTCAAAAAAGTGCGCTGGCGCACAGAACCCAATATCCCCCATTAATGTATATCCTTTTTTCAGTCAATCTTTCCGCTTATATTTTTGTCGAAAGATTGTTTTCGGTTAATTTCGCCATAAAAGTGAATCGATAAAAATATTTGAAATAAAAAAAATAGTCAGTGGGGTTCTTTTTCTTTTCACAATTTAGTACTTTATGTCACGTTTTGACTATAAATGTAGTTCACGTTTACATTTAAAGGCCACTCGAGGTATCCATATAATCAGTAAATGTATAGAATAAACGGTGCGATAGCTATCGGAGTGCTATTCGACAGCATACAAAGTGCCCATAAAAAAATTGCAACAAATTTCAAAGTACTGCTGTTCATTTTTTTCAGATTAATATTCTCTGTAATTTTTCGCATAAACTATTTTTTTCACTATAAAATAATTTTTCCATTCCTCAGATACCATTACTATGGAAATGACGACGCTTCCTTCAAGACGCTCTTGTTTTTTGAAGACTGTCGAAGTACACAATAAAAAACAAAGATTTTTTTAGAAGCCTGACGAGGGCAATGTGTCAGGTGAGCATCACAGATATGGTTCAAACTTCTGTGGTAGGTAGTCTCAGGTATGAGTATTGGAAAACAGAAAAAATGATCTGCTAAGCCTAAGGTACCGAGAAACAGCCCTACGAAAATGTACAGGAGAATCTAAAAAAAACGAATTATCTTTGGGTTTTTCGTAGAGAGTTACTTTCTCGCGTTTCTTATGATATAATGAACAACACTAGACTTTTAGAAATCGAAAAAGAAAACAACTAAGTTTTTGAGATCTCACTGAACATTCTTGACAGGCTATTTCTCAGTACCCTATGGCGCACCCTGTACTTCTGAACTTCTACTTTCTGAAGCCCCCTTAGCCATCGCAAATGGCAATAGCATTAGGATATTAGTGGTGAAGATTCTATAGTTTCTCATAATTCCTTGTCTTTCACCGTTATAAATTTGCTGAAGAAGTGCATAACCTCAGGTATACTTTATAATAATCGTGAATATTCCCATTTTTCGGCAACATCTTTTTGAAAAGTTTTCTGCACTCGTTTTTGCTTGCACAAAAGTAAGCTCAAAAGAAATGCAAAATTCGAGGTGCTTCTGTGCGAAATTGAAAGCACTTATTTGCAGAAAGCATGAGGTTTGCAGAAGACTGGCATTGGCACTGCTCTTTCACTATTACAGTAGAGAATCTTATTCGTAGTCCATCAGAGAGTTCTTGGCAAATTTACAAATAACTCCAGTTCGAAAGGCAAAATGAATCCCCATGTCAATTCAGAAAACAGAAAAAAACCATTGGAAAAAAATTAAGGGTGGACTCATCATTATGTTTAGGACTGTAGATGGCCTTCTTTTGTAACTAATAAACGGTAGCAGCGCCACTAAGGCTACCGCGAGGCTAATCAGTGGTCGTTTATTTAAATCAATTTTTTGTTATAGCCTATTCCGCGCCAGCTTGTCACGTTTTTCTTTCCGCCAAAAAGACCGTATACCAAATGAAATCAAATTTCTGCTTTTATAACGGCAAGAAACAAAGGTCTTGAAGCGAAGTTGGTCAAATTTGGCCTTTTGGCGGAAAGAAAAACGTGACAAGCTGGCGCGGAATGGCCTATAACCGTGCTAAGACCTGCTGAGCTAGTTAAAAAAGGTAGCTACTCGGTAACTATTTGTATCTCTATCACGATTGACCAGTGGAAAAATTTGCGAAAAAAACTATTCTCATTTTTAAAAAAACTCGATTATTTTTTTATTGATTCACTTGTATGGCGAAATTAACCGAAAAAAATCTTTCGACAAAAATATAAACGGAAAGATTGACTGAAAAAAGGATATACATTAATGGGAGATATTGGGTTCTGTGCGCCAGCGCACTTTTTTTGAATTGGCGCGCGCGTGAGGCAAGCCCCCACGTCTGGATTTAGCGGCGCTACGCCAGAAATAAGCTTTTGGCGTGTTTTTCTGCTCTTCTTTGCTTTTTATCATTTTGACTTTTTTTACATTATGGGTTTTTTTCTTTCTACAATGAAATTACTTAAAATTATCGACGCTGAATCTCCATTAATCTGGCCTAAAATTTGGATGATTTAGCTTTGTATTTTTATATATTTTTTTATTCAGATATTCTAACCACTGATGTTCTACAATGAGAAAAAAATTGATGTTTTAAAAATTTTTTTATCAAAGTTTTTTTCACTTGTTCCCAAAAAATATTTTTAGGCCCAAAAAGTTAAATTTTTTTCGCATCAATTTTTTTCATGTCAATCAAGTTTTTTTCAAAGTTTGAATAATCATATCGGGAAAAGGAGTGTCGTGTCTTTATACCGCTTTCGAAGTGATTCCAGCGAAAAGACCGTCAAAAAGAAAAAAAAAACGAAGGTTTTGGAGAGCCAGAGATCTTTTTGAAATGTTTTTTTATTCGGAGGATTTTTATCGCACTTCTTGTCACTCGTTCTCAAGACTGAAGAAAATTATATCAATGGTTTTCGAGAAAGCTTTCAGAGTCTTTGGGACCTCCTCAGACCCCTTAATACAGTCTTTTTTTCCTTTTTCGTTTTTAAAAACTTCGATCTCTTAGCGCTCCAGTTTTTCAATGTTAATCGGAAGTTCTCAATTGATAAAGTCAATGAGCTTGGGCTTTGATTTTTTTTTTCGTTCCGCATGTTTCGGATGAAACTACTGAAGTTCGAAAGAAAACAGCTTGATGGGTTCTCGAATGGGTGAAATCTGCTTGAGTGTCCTCTTCCGCGTGACCGTTTGCAAATACTGTTTCGCAACACACTCTGAACTCTGAATGTATTTCGAAGTGGTTCTTAGACTGTGTAACCATCTGAAAAAGATAAGATTTCTTCTGGAGACACGTTTTGAATTATTGGAAAATTTAAAAATTAAAAAATGAATAAATTTCCTACTAATAAGCCGTTAGCTGATTTACTGAATAGTTCTATGTATGCAACGACTGAGAACTAGTTTTAGTCAAGCTCATTTATTAGGTAAATCTCGCGGAGCTATTTTTAAATGACTAATGCGAAACCTGTTCAGAAATTGACAGTAGAAAAATATCTGACAATATACAGAAAAAAAACTTAGCAATTGTTTCATAAATTTCCAGCCAGGAAAAAACCTGAGATTAATCTACAAACTATAAGTTTGGGATTTTACCTAGAACACGATCTCCATGCTTGTATCAAAAAGTGAGCTCGTCATAGCGCAACAGGATGAACTATGATCAGAAGAGGGACCGTCAGACAATGCTTTAAACTCTTTGGACAAATTTGGACATCAAATTCGCCTGAGACGATTTTTGAATGGGGCTTCAAAAAGCTCAGTCGATAATATCTGTGACTAAAACTATAAAATGATTGACTGACTGAGAAAAAATAATCAAAAAAATTTAGAAAATCTGAAAATTCATGCCAAGATTAGGACACTTGGCAGTATCTGTGCCGACTTCATTTCTACGCTCACACAGGATCTACAAACCGTTCAAAAAAAAATGAGCTCGATCGGAGACTATGAAATTTTCGACATTTGAGGGTCCATAACTTTTCACAGACTCCGGTGGCAGCTTTTGAGACCGGATTTGAAATCAGCATGAAAAACTACACCTGGAAAACATGGTCTCATACAGAAGTCCCACTGTGAGCTGATAGCATCTCTTCGTCAGACGACTTCAAAAGAAGTCATAGACCAGATACTTCCAATTTCAAACTTGGGTTGGAATCAAACAAATTTTTGAAAGGATCAACAGAGGTATCTAAATAGTCAAGGGTAAAGCTGAAAGCCGGTTATGGGCGAAAAAAGTTACATAAAACCGATCAAAAATGAGCAGATCTCAAGAAAGGTGCTTTCTGAAAAATGAATCGAAGTACGGCTCGAAAAGCATAAAAAGGTTAGGTCGGAAAGTTATATAACGATTCGGAAAAGGATGGAGCGCTAGACTTCATATTCTCGGTCTCTTAGGATGCGAGAAACGCAAACCGATTACCATGAACATCTACATAAAATACCGACATTTGGTTCGGCGAAGCATAAAAACTTTTGGTTCTGGTAAGCATGAGGTGGTTCGTCTAATCATTGGTTCGCCTAAGCTTTGGTTCGGATTTTGGTTCGGAAAATCATGGTTCGGAAAAGAATCGGCCCAAATAAGTTCAAGAAAAATGCAAAACTTTAATTTGTCGGAAAAAAATTAAATATTTTCACCTTTTTACTAGTACTCCGGAAACCTGCCCCGTGTGAGCGATCTGTTTTGAAAATCGATCGCTCGGAATTTCGATCGATCAAAATTTTAT